AAATATTTTTGCTTGTGACAAACAATAATTCTTTGATCAAAGTCCTGCTTTGAAATTTACCTTTAAGAATTTATCATAACTCATACATGTAACCTTAATAGTTAGAAAACATGTTTAGATGCAAATAAGTCACTAGGAGCTGAGATTATCTTAAAATGTAAGTCCAAGAACATGTTATTTTAAAACTGTTGCACTCCTGACATCAAAAAAATGGTTCTAAAAGAAAAATTCCTTGTCTATCAGGCTACTCTTTGGGTGCAATCTTGTATCTAGTATAGTATCTTTTGAAAAATAAAACAGAACCATAAAATGGCTTTTGTATTTTTTCAGTGTGAGTCTTTAAACTTCAAAGTTGCACTCCTGACACTTACAGGGAGGCCTTATATACTTGACTCTCACACATTATTTATATCAATAATCAGGTAAATAAACTATTTATTCTGGAAAGGACATATTTGTTTTACAGGATTGACCTTTGTTTATGTTTAGGTGTGAGTCATTTAAGCAAAAATCATTCTATTCCTCAGTAATACTAATTCGTGTGACATGGCACAACTTTTTTTCAGAACACATCTGTATCAAAACGGTTCAATGGAAAAGCTTCATTCTGAGCTGAAATCATCACTAAGATATAATAGTTGTAATATAACTAAGAATTTAAGGCACATTCCTCCTTACAACAATTTGCTGTGTCTTAATAAAAAAGTAATTTTTCAAAATGTCACAAAAAAGTGTTGCACTCCTGACAATTTTGGCATCTTTTTTTAACGTCATTTTTTTAATACTTGAGATTTTCCAAAGATGTTTTGCAGGAATATTCTACACATCAAGCCACATCATTTGAAATTAATTTATTCAATCAAATGATCAGCATGATTGATAAATATTGCTTTATATGCAAGGAACCATTTATTTTGACTTTGCCCTTATCATAAATCCCTGATTTTCTAATATATATCATTTATTTGTACCATATGCATACCAATATACCATGTGTTTACTCTAGATATACATGTTAACTATCAATGTGCCACTCCACTATAGAGCGAAGAGTAAGCACATGGTATATTTATGGTATGCATGAGGTACAAATAAATGATATATATTAGAAAATCTGGATTTAAGATAATCAAAGTGATGGAAATCACTCATGGAAAGATTGGATGAGTTGTTTGAATAATTTCAACTATATATAGGTATGGTCACTAAGGTGTGGACAAAAAAAGGGTATTAATATAGCACTATTGCAGAAAAATTGCATTAACTGCAAGTATTTAGAAGGATAAGCACTTTTCAGTTGATAAAGTGAGCTAAACGTTGATAAATTTATGATAGTGGGTCCCTCAATTTGCACAACAATTTAGTATAAATTGCATTTTCATATCTTAACCAAATAATGTTCCCTGTTACATGTTTCATCTTTTATGCTTTATCTTTAGAAACAGAATTCCTCTAATAAAGTAAAATATCAGTTATCCTTGTAGGACATGGGACCAACAGATAATCTTTATTGTCTCCAAAAATTATGTTAAAAAGTTGTTTTGGGGGCATTTTGTAAGTTGAAACAAAGGTATACTATTTTTCTCCTCTAAGAATTGCTTATTGATTTTGAAAACAATTATCAGGATTATATGAAACTAAAGATTTAAAGTTGTAGAGTGTATTTTAAATCAATTTATAATTTCATATTTTCCAGAAAAGGGCAATGAAAATGTACTTTTTCAACATAAGCAAATTAAAAAACTTATTTTATTGAAATTGGGATTCATTCTTCATTGCAAAAATACACTTCCTGTATTCAAATGACTAGTATTGCTAGAAGAAATTTGATGGGGAATAAAGTAAAAAAAATAATTTGGTTTGCTCAGATTAAAGGTTTTGAAATTTTACCTACTGTTTCAAGCCAATCACTGATAAATGTAACACAAGTTATTAATAACAGAATATTATTTCAAAAATTTATCAAGTAAAATATAGACTTACTTTAAGGGTGCCACATGTGGAGCAGGATCTGCTTACCCTTCCGGAGCACCTGAGATCACCCCCCAGTTTTTGGTGGGGTTCGTGTTGCTTAGTCTTTAGTTTTCTATGTTGTGTCATCTGTACTATTATTTGTCTATTGTCTTTTTATTTTTGGCCATGGCGTTGTCAGTTTGTTTTCGATCTGTGAGTTTGACTGTCCCTCTGGTATCTTTCGTCCCTCTTTTAAGAACTTTTTTATATTTAGATTTAATATTTTGTGTTTTCTTTTGAAAGAAAAATCTAGTTAATCCATAATCATTTATCTTTCAGACATAATTTATAGAATCATTTCATGCAGTGTCGATTAAAAGTATTTATTCATTGCCTATTACTGTAATAGAAAATGAATAAATCTATCATTACATCTAATATATACATTTGTGTATTCAATAATGAGGTCACGCATTTGTGTATTGAGATGTATAATGAAGAGTCTGTCTAATTATGTAAGACTTATGTTGTTTAGTTATTTGGTCAATTGATGATTGGCATTTAAGGAGGTGGGACATTCTAACTAAGGGCTATCACTACTCTTATCTAATCAAAATGACAAAACTAGCCTGCAAATTGACAAAACTTAAAGACATGCATACTTGAATGAGTTGCTCCAAAGATACATTTTTTGTATAACCCAAATTGTTCACAGTTCATATATGCATTTGTACACAGACATGAGAATTATAAGTAACTTTATTTCAGTGTGTATGCATTTTACAGATTTAGTAGCTAACCTGTGCTACTTTCTGTTTGGTAGGCTGGTGCCTTAGGAAAGACTTGGAATAATAGTTCCAAACTTTCCAATAAAAACGGAGGGATTATATGGGGCTCAACATAGGGTTCTGTCCTCAAGCACCTATGGTTTTAAGCAACCTCTCCGGTATTGAATAAAATGGCAAGTGCTGGTAGCTGACGGTAACTGGTCCTCCAATAATAGAATTTTTTTCACAATGGATGCAATAGGTCATTTTTTTAAATTGGATCGACTATGAATAGAATAATGTTTTATTGCTAATCACAGCGCCCAAAGCTGAGCTGAATAATTACATTAAATTTATATACAATCATGACAATGATTGTTTAAAACAATTGCAGATGAAAAAAAAACAAAAACACAAGGAAAACAATACAAATAAATCAAAAATAAATAAATCAAACCATTCAATTAAGACCAGCAATAAAAAAACAGCTGGTACATCTAATAATATATTAGGTATAGTGACGTAGTTCTATATTACTGACAAGCTGGACCAAACTTACCTGCCATTTCTAACATTGTTTAACTATATATCATTGTAATAAAAGATAACTATAATTTTATTTGAAAAAATAATCTATCGATTGACTATGGTACTTATAAGCCAAACACATATAGACTCATCAGCTAATGTTTTTATATTTGGCACCCTTTGTTCTTTATATGCTAAAAATTGCCTGCGCTCTTCTATATACTTTGGACATTGAAGTAAAAGGTATATTTCATTTCATATTATTTTTAACAAATTCCGCATTTTCTATCATTCACATCTACATTTTTGTATCTTCCTGCTTCTATTTCTAATTTATGTGCACTTAGTCGAAATTTAGTAATCATGTCTTTGATCATTATTCAAATCTAAATATGACCTGGGCTTTCAAGACGTTATAATTATTTGGACTACCATTGGGATCAGAACAAATATATCTTCGTCTCATGGGTTTTCATGCTATTAAGAATGCATTGTGACGTCACAATTTCATTGAAAAGGCATGCATAGTACAAATTCATATGACGTATGAAAACATATGATCTGACCATAAATTATGAGAGGGGGGTCGGACCTTTATCGGGACTCTGGGATCGGGTGTTTTTAAGGTCAGGATTTCGGGATGTCTGGATTTAAATTTCTTCAAATTCGGGACCTCGGGATTTCATGTTTTTAAGCCCGGGATTTCGGGATCAGGACCCCTCCGACCCCCCCCCCCCCCCCCCCCCCTCTTATGACGCAGACCTCGATAATAACGCTTGTCCGATTGTCCGGTACCAGAGGAAAAAAAGGTCGGACAAGTAAAAGCTATATCAGGCTTGTCCGACGGGACAAGTAAAATTATTCTGCAGAAAATAAATTTAATCCAACTTTGATGAACAAAGTAGTTATAAACAAAAAACAAGAAAAGAAGATAAAAACAAGTATTAATAGACAGTTTGGCACCGTAGGAGACATATTTAATAGATATGATTAATAGACAGTTTGGCAACGCAGGAGACAATTCGGGACCAAGACAAATCAGTACCTATTTCCCACCTTATTCTGTTGCTTTATATTATTATAATAAATACCATACCGGTAATTTTTTTAACAAAAATATTTTTTCAATAAAAATGAAGAAATTATTTACCATAATATTCACAAAATCATATTTGATCATATGTAGAAAGAAACAATACTTGCAATACGGTGACCTATAGTTGTTAATTTCTGTGTCATTTGGTCTCTTGCAGAGAGTTGTCTCATTGGCAATCATACATCATCTTCTTTTTTTTATTGATTGCATTTGAATAATCTTTTTTCAACTTAAATAACCAGGATACAAATCCAATGAGTGTACATTGACAGGCCTATCAGACGGTGCCTCGTGTGCAGAGTCTGATGAGACTTTGCCATTGATGAAAACTAGAACCTAAGCCCTGTGACATGACTAGATTCAGTTGTTCTCTACTCATATTTTTGAAAAGTATTTCAAAAGATATTAATCAAATTCTGTTCTATTGTTTTAATTCACTTTGTTCCTTGAATCAACTTAGAAGGCAAAAAAGTTTATTATTAAGATTTGTTTTGGACAAGTTACAATTTCATTCGGACAAGTAAGTTTTGGGTTGTACTTGTCATACTGGACAAGTTGAAAAAAAAGTTATTGTAGAGACCTGTGACTACTGACTCGAAAATTGTGAATCACTGAATGGGATTTTTAATGATACTGGTCATGTTGGCTAAATATACCTGTTTGGTTAATCAGTGCATGTTTGGATGTGTATTGTGGGATGACATTTACTACAGCCTCTAATAACCGAGATTTTTCCTCAATATCTTCTTCTGAACTATCTGATTCGGACATGCTGTTTACATTCTCTGATTTTATCATTCAAGAAACCAAAAGTGTAGAGGTCATTCCGAATAAGGAACTCATAGAAAATAGAAAAACGAAATTTAGCTTAAAATGTTTAATGAAAATAATATATATTTAGCATTGTAGTTGATAATTACTTTGAATGTTAATGAAACAATAAATTGAACAATTTTCGCATTGATACAAAATTAGTGTATTGTTTTATTCCTTCGTGTTGTATAAAAATTATATAAATATTGATTCTGGTTTTTTAAATTGCAATCGCGCTAATTTATCATAATTCATTTATTAAATGATATAAAATTTGATGATTACGGAAACTGGTCAATGTCTATAAGCTACATGAACTAAGAAAACCGCTAGAAAACAGTTTAAAAATGTAAACAAACAAAACGGAAAGCACGGCCGTACGCTTGCGCAATGTGACAGGAAGCTGGAATGCGATAACTGCATGAGGCCGATTTATGACAAAAAATCCAAAAACTCGACTAAAACAATGAATTACATGTCATTAATCAACGTAAATAATGACTTTTAGAGTTTGGGCCTCGAATATAAATACATTTCACTGATATTGCAATATGGACTTCATCAAAATGTTACCGTTTCACACTTGAATTGTCTTCGTCCCGCCAACATCAGCAGCAGAAACAGTTACGCTCCAGGTTGAATATGTCACAGGAAGAATATACGTCTTTGAGTAGAGCCCAGCTCAGCTTTGACTATCTGCATACTAATTCGTAAGTACATATATACTTAGAGAGTTGTATGTCATGAATTTATTACTGATGCAATTATTTTATCTTCATCTTTGTATACCATATACATTGTAGAATAATAATATTAACGAAAATCACCCTTGTGGAAATTTCAGTACATCACAAGGGTGATTTTCACCCTCCCACACACTTCTCTGGTACCCAATCCGGAGTTTAAACTATAATTGGTACTTTGGGGGCCTCGGTTGGTCAAAGTTGTCCCCTACTTTGACTTGGAGATCAATCTTCTGATATCTCTCCGGTTTGTCTGTTTCTGCCGAGTAGCCCGGTGGTTCTCTCTGAGTACTTCGACTTCCTCCACCATAATAACATACTTCCAGGTGTCCTAGCACTCCCTTTCTGTTGGGGTGGGGATTGTCCTTGTAAAAATTGTCGTAAATACGTTAGTAACACATCTCCATAAATCCCGATAGGGAGTGTACATGGATTCCACTGTACCCTCGAAGCTCTCAAGGGTTTCTTTGGATAACGGAGGAATTTACCAGTACATACATACATACAATAATAATAATGACTTTATTTAAAGAGGGTGACAATTGGCATTCACTATTCTACCTTGAGGCCCTCACAAAAAACATACAGAACGAATATTACAAATATTACAATTTTTGATCATATAATTAAACTTTCATGCTATATGATAGTCTGTAGAACAAGAAAAACAAAATAATACATTATACACAAACATTAAAAAGACATGATAGAGTTAGAGAGTTGTTAAATATCATTTATAGTTTAGAAATCTACACATTTCCTTTTTAAAAGTACCAAGATTTTCGGGTCTCACTAATTAGCGACAAGAAGCGACAAGAAGACTATTTAGCGACAAGAAATTTTTTTTTTTATTAAGATTACTTATTCCAAATAAATATTCTAAAATATGCATTTAATTTTTTTTTTTTAATATATGGGCAGAAATAAATTGATTTTTTTTGTGAAGAAATTAAACATTTGTAAGGAAGAAAGGGATTGTGTACAGTCAGAGATATAACTCTATAGGGTTATTATAGAAAATAACTTGCGTGTGTTATTACAGATACTTTCATGAGTTGTCTACTCCTATAATCTTCAATCAACATTAAACTATGCATAAACATGATAAATATCGTTAAATGAGGCAATACACAAAATAAAATGATGAAAAATATTCACATTTTAATTATGTTTTCCTCTTGTTTGATTTCAGTTCTTTGTATTTCACAATTTGTGTCAGAGTATTTTCTGGACAATGATGCACAAATAATGCATTTTGCAAGTTTATTATATAGTGTACATAGAGAGTTTTAAAAACAAATTATAAGATAAATATACATGTATCATTGTTTTAAAACACAAGTAAAATTAATATCATAATACGACAGGGTAACGAAATACTTGCTGTAATACATAATAAATAATAAAATATCACAAATAAATATATCTAGATCTATGTTTCAAAATATTTTTCTTTCTATTTATTGATGGAATATTAACTTTCTTGTCGCTAAAATTGTTTTCTTTTGCATATTCTTTTAATATTTATTTGGAATAAGTAATTTTAATTAAAAAAAAATGTTTTCTTGTCGCTTCTTGTCACTAAATTATTCTTCTTGTCGCTTCTTGAAGCTTCTTGTCGCTAAAATTCTTCTTGTCGCTAATTAGTGAGACCGAGATTTTCACATAGTTTTATTTCCAGTTAAGTTTAACATGTTTAAGTTAAAAATAAATTAATCTAATTGCTACAAAAATGTGTGGCTACATATGAACCATGTGCCAGGACATAACCTTACTGGCTAAATGACGATTCAAGTTGCTAAAAAAAAAATGAAAATTGTCTTAAAACTTGTGATTTATTAATCAAATTAAAACTATTAAGTTTTTAATTCTTTTTGTAATAAGTCACTATGAAACAGAATTTTGGTAAAGGTGGAGGGAACTAGAATGAAACTTGCAAAAAAAATTTTAAATGAAATAATGTGGAGTTATTTCTATTAATCATTTTATTTCGTCCAAATGTTATCATGCTTATCTAACCAATAAAAAGCTTTACATAATTGTTTTACATAATATCAGGAGGAAAAGAACATTTTAATAAATTGAAAAAAATATAAATACGAAAGTAAGGAGATGTGCCATTCCCATTGTGGTATGGTTGCCAAGGAAACACTTATAGACCAGAGTCCAAATGAAGTGGATTAAAGCACCTACATGTATCAATCACTGTACAGCATTGAACAAAAAATATTAATTTGGTTGGAAAATTGAATTACTAAGTTGTTGTTACTCTCGGAAGTGAACGATATGTTTTGAAACAACCTCCAGGGCATGTTCACTGACATTAAAAAACATAGAACTAAATTTTATTCAGTACAATAAGCTAGTAGTAGTTCATGTAGAAATGTAGTTTGTTAAAAAATTGTTCTGTGTTTTAAATTGGTTCAAAAAAACAATTTTTCTCATTATTTTTCCATCATTTAATTTTGTATTACAGAACTACTCATGAGTTTTTGTTTGGTGCCCTTGCTGAATTGGTTGACAATAGCAGGTAAGTTTCATAATTCACACGAAGAAAAATATGGGACATGGATAGGAATGGGGAGAGTGTATTTGACACCTTATCCTTTAAAGAAAAGAAAAAAAACGAAAGATATTTCAGCAAATTCAGGGATTTTGTAAAATTATTGCATTACTGTGACACGTTAGTCAATTTCAAAGCTGGGAGGAGCTATAATAGTAAGAACTTCAAATGTAACGTTAATTAACATGTATCATGTGTATATATATCCTTATGTTTCTGTGTCATGTGTGTTAAGCACAATTTTTGTCTGCTAAACATGAGTCTACTTTTTATCAAGTTTTTACTTCAAAGAATAGTAAAAACCACCATGAAAATTTCAATTGAACAGTATTTGCCAGTTATGTTTTTACCACTTAAGGAGTATTGTCTGGGGTGGTAAATACTGGTAATTACCGCTGGTTAATACTTGAACATGACACATACTTGTCATTTTCTAATCAGCACAGCCATTTATCTACATGTATGTATTTAATCCTTTGGAAAAGTTAAAAATTATAATTTTAGTTTTTTTGTCATTTTTTTTTTTTTTTTCGTTGTTTGGACTGCAATAACACTAAAATCATTATATGTCAGACACAGCACAGGTAGAATAAGTGAAGTCATGACACCCGTTCCACTGTAGAACTGTCTGGTAAAAGGATACATTCCAAATAAGAAAAATTTGGAACTAATAACAGATTTTGACCTATTATTTGTATCTATTCATGTACATTTATTTTGTATATATATCCACTAGCTTGTAGAGGCAGAAAGTATCCATACTGTAATTGAAATTAAAACTAGGTGGATGTAACAGATGCGCTAATTTTTAATTGTTTCATGACATGCAAGGACAACTCTTAAAAAAGATTAAAAGCAAACAACAATGAAATACATTTTTAAAACCAGTTTAAAACTGGATGTCAGTAATTTGTTCAGCATTGCAATAAAATGTGATAACCTTTCCTCACATTTGTTTAAGATATTTTACTTTATGGTGCCAGACTATTTTGTATTTTATGTCTTTAATTTCAGAGATGCCAATGCAACAACAATCAACATTTTCACAGGTAAGTTCAGAACTTTCAGAAGGAAGTCATCAGGGTTTTTTCGTCTTCTAAATTTTTATGCCCCCGCCGTAGCGGAGGGGGCATTAAGTTTTACCCTTGTCCGTCTGTACGTACGTCCCAAAATTGGTTTCCATTCCAACTTGAGTTTGCCTCAACCAAATGTTATGAAACTTATACACAATGCTTATTACCACAAAACACAGATCAAGTATGAATTTTGAAGGCGTCACTTTAACCGTTCTAGAGTTATGCCCCTTTATAAATGGAAAAATTGCAAAATTTTTAGTTTCCGTTGTCTAAATGAAGTTTGCCTCAACCAAATGTTATGAAACTTATACACAATGCTTATTACCACAAAACACAGATAAAGTTTGAATTTTGTTGGCATCACTTTAACCGTTCTAGAGTAATGCCCCTTTATAAATGGAAAAATTGCAAAATTTTTAGTTTCCGTTCTCTAACTTAAGTTTGCTTCAACCAAATGTTATGAAACTTATACACAATGCTTATTACCATAAAACACAGATCAAGTTTGAATTTTGGTGGCGTCTCTTTAATTGTTCTAAGAGAAATGCCCCTTTATAAATGGAAAAATTGCAAAATTTTTATTTTCTTCTAAATATCAAGTAATTTTTAAAATTGGGAGTTATCTTCCTTTGTCCATGATTATAGTTGAATCAACTATATCAATGCTTTATACAATGCAATGTTTAATTTTGACTTCCACTGATAAAACACAGATGAAGTTGAATTTGGGTAGTGTCACTTTAACCATTATTGAGTTATGCCCCTTTATAAATCGAAAGATTGCAAAATTTTTAGTTTCCATTCTGTAACTTAAGTTTGCCCGAACCAAACATTATGAAACCTATACACAATATTCATTACCACAAAACTAAGATCAAGTACAAATTTTTTGTTTCTGTTTTCTAACTTTAGTTTGCCTCAACCAAATGTTATGAAACTTATACACAGTGCTTATTACTACATAATACAGATTAAGTACGAAGTTTGGTGACGACACTGTCACCATTCTTGAGTTATGTCCCTTTATAAACATGCAAATTGCTGAATTTTTCGTTTCCGTTCTCTAACTTTAGTTTGTCTCAACCAAATTTTATAAAACTTATACACAACCGTTCTAGAGTTATGCGTGTTTACAAATAGAAAAATTGCTGAATTTTTAGATTCTGTTCTCTTCTTAAGTTAGCCTCAACCAAATGTTATGAAACTTACACACAATGCTTATTACCACAAAACTCAGATCAAGTTCAAATTTGGGTAGCATCTCTTTTAACGTTCTTTAGTTATGTCCCTTTATAACTAAATGATATGCAAGCGGGGGCATTATCTGTGTCCACATGTGGACACTATCCACATTTATTTTAAGATGACTTCAGGTTAGAGGGATAATAGATTCACAGAATGGCAGTAATTAAGCCAGGTTTCTGACAGAAAAATCTGGTTATTGACTTGGATTAGTTAACAAGCAGGTTACTCCAGCTGTTACATGATATCCTATATAAGAAAAACTTAGTTTGATGTCATTTTGACAGGTTTTTTGACTCTCATAGTTTGATTAACAATACAAAGAAATGCTGAAGGTTAAAGTCAATATTAAACAGATTTTCACATCCAAATAAGACACTGCTATCCATTTCACTTCAGTTTTTTTGAAAAGTGGCTTCAAGTCATCTAATATGATGCAGTCCAGATCTGTATTTTTATCTTTCCAAAACTTTGAAAGAAAGCTATACTGAGATTAAAGTGATTTGATGAGGTATTTGAATAATTGTTTTGAACATGTTGATTGTGAATAAAGTAGATGTGGAGTCAGACATCAATGAGACAGCAACCTCAATTACACAAATAATCAAACAACAATGTACATGTCTATAAGATATGTCAATTACTTTTAATGTTAAAATGTTGTGAATAAAAAAATAATGTATGTTTGTATCAGAAAGCCTTACATTAGTTTTTATCTTTGCATGTAAATGTTTTTCTGTTTCAGTCCCAGATGAATCTCTTAGGGGAGGTTACCTGTTGTGTTTCCTTGACGACGGAAGTGGAATGGACCCAAGTAAGTAGATGTCTAAAGCTGCTTGAAGTGATTAAATGTAATCTATATGAAGTATCGACCTAACACATTTATAACTCTTGGTAAATTAGAATCTGAAAAACTTTTCCTGTAAGATTTAAAAATTGCTTGGGTTTCCAACCTTATATGGACAAATTCGAAATTTTATAATATTTAGTTTGAATATTTTTGAAATGATCAGTTAAAATTGTTTTGAAATCAAATGATCAGTCAAGCAAATCAGAAGTATGGATTTTTTTTTTTTTTTTTTTGCTTATTTAATGCAGTGCACACAAAACATTTTAAAAGAAAATTAATATAGGGGTTATTGCATTTGACAATTTATATAGAAATAGAATGATAGTCAACAGTGTTAATGAATAACCCTTTTGTATAAATTAAGTTTACAGACTGATCACGAACATTTACAGACATGATATGGATATTGCATTATTTACAGTTATTGGATAAAAATTTTAATTTTTAATTAGTTACTAAGGAAATATTATGATGATATGTATCAAGTTATTCTATTGCATTTGATGAAAAAGATATAGCTTTGTCAGGAAAAGTTATTTGAGCTGTCAAATAATTTCAACTAAAAATATTTCATTTTCAGATGAAACAGCTGATATTATCACATTTGGAAGGTCAACTAAAAGAGACGAAGAAAACTCACACATTGGCATGTACGGAAATGGTCTCAAATCGTAAGTTGTTAATAAATAATTTAGGTCATTTAGCTTTCCATTTATTCAAGCTGAGATTTCTGGCAAGGCTTTTGGCAGTTCTTTTAAAGATATCGTCAGTAAAGTGCTTAAAAGTGCAAAGTATGTATACTTTGATTTTAATTTATTATTTTTTACCAGTACAAAGTTACTGAATTACATAAAATTTTGGATTGGACAGTATATTCCTGCATAGCCCATAAAAAAAGTGTAAACTATTGCAATACTTTCAACTTTCTGTTTGTGTTACCATGGTAACCACACATTTTTCTATGTCAAACCTTAATACTGTTTAATATTAATTTTTTTCAGCAGGAAGATTTCCTTAAATATATTATTTACATTTTACATTTTCAAAATCAAAAGACAGCATATCATTTATTTTACATTTTATATTTTTGTTATACGACCGCAAAAAAATTTTGTGGTCGTATATTGGTATGACGTTGGCGTCGTCGTCGTCGTCGTCCGGCGTCGTCGTCCGAATACATATTGGTTTTCGCACTCTAACTTTAGTTTAAGTGAATGGATCTTTTTGAAATTTGACCATAAGGTTAAATACCACAAAAGGAAGGTTGGGATTGATTTTGGGGGTTATGGTAACAACAGTTAAGGAATTAGGGGCCAAAAAGGGGCCAAAAATGAGCATTTTCTAGTTTCCAGACAATAACTGTGGAACGGTGTATGGATCTCTCTGAAATTATACTACAAGTTTCCATACCACAAAGGGATGGTTAGGATTTGCTTTGGGGGGTTATGGCTCAAACCGTTTAGGAATTAGGGGCAAAAAAGGGGGAAAAACAAGGTTGTCCTGGTTAATGGACAAATACTTTAGTACAAAACATAATTTAAAGCAGTGTAAGGGAGATAAATCAAATACATCATTGAAATTATCTCCCTTACACTGCTTTTAAATTATGTATAAAGTAATGGTTAATGAACAATAAAGATAATCTAAAACAGTGTAAGGGAGGTAATCCAAATACAACGTTTTGGTTACTTCCCTTACACTGCTTTTAAATTATGTTTAAAGAAATGCATATTTATAAAGGAAGACCAGTAAAAATATCTGCAAATGTTTTCATCTTTTTTTTTTACAAAAAAATCCATATGAAAGATTTGACACCATATTTTTATTAATTCTATTATAAAATAGATTAAGTTAGCACTATGGTAAATTTAAATGGGTAATTATGGTTGCCAACTCCATTGGAAATTTGAATTGAGATTATGACCATATCTTGAGGGAAAGAATTTTTTTGGGGGGAAAAGGGGGGGGGGGGATAAAAAGAAATTGTGGGGGGCCAATTTTTTCTCATTTCAGATTTCAGAAATTAAAAAGAATTATTCTTCAAATATTATTTTTTTTTCAAATTTCAAATATTGAAAAATTTCAAGAAGTAATCTTTAATTGCACAGTATGGCGCATTAGATTTGTAAAATCTTTGATCACATTTATTTATTTGTTATGCCGAATCTAACAGTGTATTTAGATTTTTAATTTTGGGTCCAGTTTTCAAATTGGTCTACATTAATGTCCAAAGGGTCCAAAATTAAACTTTGTTTGATTTTAGCAAAAATTGAATATATGAGGTTCTTTGATATGCTGAATCTAAACATGTATTTAGATTTTTGATTTTTGGCCCAGTTTTCAAGTTGGTCCAAATTGGGGTCCAAAATTAAACTTTGTTTGATTTCAACAAAAATTGAATATATGGGGTTCTTTGATATGCTGAGTCTAACCATGTATTTAGATTTTTTATTTGTGGACCCCTTTATCTAATTGGTTCATATTGAGGTCAAAAGGGTCCAAAATTCAACTTTGTTTGATTTCATCTAAAATTGAATTATTGGGGTTCTTTGATATTCCAAATCTAACCGTGTATTTAGGTTTTTAATTTTGGGTCCTGTTTTTTAAATTGGTCTACATTGAGGTCCAAAGGGTCCAAAATTAAACTTAGTTTGATTTTGACAAAAATTGAATTCTTGGGGTTCTTTGATTTGCTGAATCTAAACATGTGTTTAGATTTTTGATTATGGGCCCAGTTTTCAAGTTGGTCCAAGATAGGGTCCAGTATTTAAACTTTGTTTGATTTCAACAAAAATTGAATATATGGGGTTCTTTGATATGCTGAATCTAAACATGTATTTAGATTTTTGATTAGGGCCCAGTTTTCAAGTTGGTCCAAATTGGGGTCCAAAATTAAACTTTGTTTGATTTCAACAAAAATTGAATATATGAGGGTCTTTGATATGCTGAATCTAACCATGTATTTAGATTTTTTATTTGTAGGCCCCGCTATCAAATTGGTTCATATTGAGGTCAAAAGGGTCCAAAATTAAACTTTGTTTGATTTCATCGAAAATTGAATTATTGGGGTTCTTTGATATGCCAAATCTAACCGTGTTTTTAGATTTTTAATTTGGGTCCCGTTTTTTAAATTGGTCTTCATTGAGGTCCAAAGGGTCCAAAATTAAACTTAGTTTGATTTTAACAAAAATTGAATTCTTTGGGTTCTTTGATATGCTGAATCTAAACATGTGTTTAGATTTTTGATTATGGGCCCAGTTTTCAAGTTGGTCCAAGTTGGGGTCCAAAATTAAACTTTTTTTGATTTCAACAAAAATTGAATATATGGGGTTCTTTGATATGCTGAATCTAACCATGAATTTAGATTTTTTATTTGTGGGCCCCGCTATCAAATTGGTTCATATTGAGGTCAAAAGGGTCCAAAATTAAACTTTGTTTGATTTCATCAAAAATTGAATTATTGGGGTTCTTTGATATTCCAAATCTAAACGTGTATTTAGATTTTTAATTTTAAGTCCCGTTTTTTAAATTGGTCTACATTAAGGTCCAAAGGGTCCAAAATTAAACTTAGTTTGATTTTAGCAAAAATTGAATTCTTGGGGTTCTTTGATATGCTGAATCTAAACATGTGTTTAGATTTTTGATTATGGGCCCAGTTTTCAAGTTTGTCCAAGTTGGGGTCCAAAATTAAACTTTGTTTGATTTTAACAAAAATTGAATATATGGGGTTCTTTGATATGCTGAATCTAACCATGTATTTTGATTTTGGACATTGGACCATAATAGGTAAATTAAAAAAATTCAAGTTCTTAGACCACATTCTTTCTGTGTCAGAAACCTATGCTGTGTCAAATATTTAATAACAATCCAAATTCAGAGCTGTATCAAGCTTGAATGTTGTGTCCATACTTGCCCCAACTGTTCAGGGTTCGACCTCTGCGGTCGTATCAAGCTGCGCCCAAGCGAAGCATTTTATTATATTAGAGGCTCAATGAGGATTGGTAATGACTTGATGGTATTTACAAAGAAAGACAAGGCAATGTCATGTTTATTTTTGTCACGTACATTTCATGAGGAGGAAGGCATTGATGAGGTACATTATTAATTTAAATTTATGTATATATAAGAATAATAAGATGTGGTATTATTGCAAGGGAGAGAACTCTCCACCAGAGCCCAAATGACATGGATGTAAGCAACTTAAGGTCACTGTATGGCTTTCAACAATTAGTAAAACCTTTACTGTATACTGTGGATTCATTTATTTTCGTGGATTGAGGAAAACTTGCATTTTCGTGGATTTTTGATTTCATGGATTTGTCAATTTCTGCATACAAAGCCTATAGAAAATTTGTAATTCGCTGAACATTTGAATTCGTGGTTCACCTGTACGAACGAAACCTACGAAAATTGGTATCCAACGAATAATAATGAATTCACAGTAGTCATCTATAAAAGGCCTGAATATGGTTAAATGTGAAACAATTCAAACGAGAAAAAATTAATTATCTGACTTATGACACAAAAATTAAAGAAAAACAAATATGTCCAGTCTTTGCGCTCAACCACAGGCACACCAGCCCAGGCTTCTAAAACTTCTGTGGCGCCTGTAAAAATCATCTTCACAGGCCAATATGATCTAACTAAAATTTTTTAAAAATTCAGCTTCGGGCCTTTAGATTGAAAAGTCTATTGTGAAGAAGGTATGTCTGTCTTGAACCAACAGCTACTGCTGAATAACAGGCACTTAAAGAATGTATTGAGGTTAAACATGTTTATGAGCATTCGGCTCTCTCCTCAACCTAGGACTTTGGTGTGACATTACAACATACATACACAAGAACAAACTGTAAATATGATTTGGAAATGGCTAAGCTCAACTGATAAGCAAGAAGCACAAAACAACTTAACAAAAACAAGACTCATTGCACTTATCCAAGAGTACCCACAATTAAAAACTAGTCCTTAGCCAAAAATACCTAATAAATTAATCATGATTATTTAAACTTAAGTGTATTTATTTATTTTGAAAAAGAAAGAAAGTAATGTGTTAATTATTTATTGGACATTACATAATTTGTAAAAGAGATATCATCAAGTAATAATTACATTACATGTATGTTTCAGATGAATCCGTTATTTAGATTGGATAACGCTTGCACGTCATACTAAAATTAACCTTCATATTTCAATGAAGTGTAACATTCATGATGACACGTGCCATTACAATAAAGTGCACAGGTTAATTAAAGAAATAAATGATAGAAATCGATTTTTCATGACCCTAACATAAAAATGTAATTATAAGAATTGAATGCTTCTTTTAGTAATTTTATAGGGTTGTAAAAGTGTTGATCGTGCACACATTTCTAGAATGAAGCGCTTCATACAAAAAGTGCATCTGTCAACACTTTTACACCCCAATAAAATTACAAAAAGAAGCATTCAATTCTTAAGTAAACAGATTATTACTTTACTCTTTAAACATTATGATTATGTCAGGTGCTTGATATTTACTTAAACAGATAATGGGAATTTAAAAAAAAAATACTGGACAGTACAACAGACCATGTCAACCATTGTCAACACAAATATTTTACTCAAACAACTTATAGTCCAGATAGCAGGCGTTTAGGCAGTGTTGCAAGAGACCCTACCCCTCGTTTTTGTCAAGTTATAAACGAATACACCAAAAATATAAAAACTTGTTATGACTTATGACTGATATTTTTTATATCTGTGTTGAAAATTTGATAATCTTTAGAATTATTGTATATCGAGAGCTCAGAGACTATGTACATATGCATCAGGTCTTAAAATTTGTTGTTCAGAGATTTTGAGATGAATTTTTTTACAGGTGATTGTTCCACTGCCATCATTTGAAGTAAACAGTAGAAAACCCATGAGCAAAGGCAAAAAGGTGAGTATGAAATTCTGAAAAATATCAACATGTTTGATTGCTAAGCCAGAGTTCTCAAAATCTTTTTTCCTAAGTGGTCCTTGAACAAAAGTTGCTGGTCCTCACTATGTTTACTATTGCGACATACACAATTTGTCAGTCCTTCGCAAAATGGTGGTGGTGGTCAGGACTACCACTTTTTGAAAACTCTGGATAACCTTAAAGTCAATAATTTTGATAAACTATTATTGTATGATTTCTTAAATTTTATATACATGTAGTTTTGTGAGAGAATTATGTAAAAGAACAAATTACTTTTAATGAAAGATAATAACTGATCAGATTTCTAAGTCAAGTTCACTGTGTGTTCATTTGTTACCATTTGATTTTAAATTAAAGGATACATAATAATTTATAAGCCTGATAATTATGTCATGTTCTATTTTTAGCATGAAATTGAAATGGAACTTATCTATAAATATTCACCATTCCACAATGAGGCTGAATTCTTTGAACAGTTTGATAAAATTGAAAGTGAATCAGGGACACTTGTTATTATATACAATATGAAGCTATTGGACAATGGTTTACCAGAACTGGATGTATTAAGTGATCCGTGGGACATTATATCGGCACATCCTTCCGCCGAAGAGGATTCAGACGAAGGGTAATAACTTATTGCACAAAACTCAAACAGTACACAAACTTTTTAATTTTACATAATATGTGTGTGGTGTAAAAATGTGTTCTCCCCAGGGCCTTATAGCACTACGGTACTTTTTACTATGGTGCTATCTGAGTTTATAATAGAATGTATTGTATAGCTTTAGAGTCACTAGACATTATAATTTACTTTAAACTAAAAATTAATTCAAACAAAACAACAAACCAAGATGTGCATATGCTATTTCAAATTGAATAGTGCTGTTTGAAAATACTGGGGAGAACACTGGTTAAATATGAATCACATCTGAATTAAGTCTGTCTTTTAGAATGTAACTTTTTTTTATCTCTTACTACTATGCTAATGTGTCTTTGTGGAGGCACATAAACACATGTCTTTGTGGAGACACTTTAACACATGTCTTTGTGGAGGCACATAAACACATGTCTTTTCAACAAGATAATGAATTTAGTGCTTTTCATTATTCAGCAGAAAATAAGCGAAGATGTGTATAATTTTAATGACTTTTAAAACTCCAAATTTAAAGGCATAAAGTTTCATGATATTGTATTTACAGACAGAATAAGAGATAAATATGGTACAATTTTAAAATGTCAACACATCGTTAAAATTCAGAATTATCTCCCATATTCAACCATATAATGAGAAGAGTTGTCTCCCATAATACACTACACTATGCTTGGTGAATAGACATGTTTGAATACTTGAGAAATTAGTTATGTAGTGTGACATTTATATGTTACTAGGTCGTGGTCAAGGTTTCGTACAGAAAGGTAAAAATTAATTGTACCTGAGCATGCTATGTGCTAGCTTTAGAAATCTCAGGGACTGAAATGGCTTACGAAATTGAAACTGCAGCAATCCTCCAAATTTTGCACCAAAAAGATTTATCACAAATATTTCTAATTCCATTTCTCTGAAAATTATTACCCAGTTAAAGTAATAAATTAAAATCCAAATTTTCTCAGGAGAAAAGTAATTTTTGTCGAGCCTGCGACTTTTGTCGCAGAAAGCTCGACATAGGGATAGTGATCCGGCGGCGGCGTTAGCTAACTTCTTAAAAGCTTTATATTTTAAAAGGTGGAAGACCTGGATGCTTCATACTTTGTATATGGATGCCTCATGTTACGAAGTTTCTGTCAGTCACATGTCCAATGTCCTTGACCTCATTTTCATGGTTCAGTGACTACTTGAAAAAAAAGTTAAGATTTTTTGAAATGTTAGATTCTCTCTTATTATAAGTAATAGGATAACTATATTTGGTATGTGCGTACCTTGCAAGGTCCTCATGCCCGTCAGACAGTTTTCACTTGACCTCGACCTCATTTCATGGATCAGTGAACAAGGTTAAGTTTTGGTGGTCAAGTCCATATCTCAGATACTATAAGCAATAGGTCTAGTATATTTGGTGTATGAAAGGACTGTAAGGTGTACATGTCCAACTGGCAGGTGTCATCTGACCTTGACCTCATTTTCATGGTTCAGTGGTTATAGTTAAGTTTTTGTGTTTTGGTCTGTTTTTCTTATACTGTATGCAATAGGTCTACTATATTTGGTGTATGGAATGATTGTAAGGTGTACATGTCTAGCTGGCAGGTGTCATCTGACCTTGACCTCATTTTCATGGTTCAGTGGTTATAGTTAAGTTTTTGTGTTTTGGTCTGTTTTTCTTATACTGTATGCAATAGGTCTACTATATTTGGTGTATGGAATGATTGTAAGGTGAACATGTCTAGCTGGCAGGTGTCATCTGACCTTGACCTCATTTTCATGGTTCAGTGGTCAAAGTTAAGTGTTTGAGTTTTGGTCTTTTTTTCTAATACTGTATGCAATAGGTCTACTATATTTGGTGTATGGAATGATTGTAAGGTGTACATGTCTAGCTGGCAGGTGTCATCTGACCTTGACCTCATTTTCATGGTTCAGTGGTCAAAGTTAAGTGTTTGAGTTTTGGTCTTTTTTTCTAATACTGTATGCAATAGGTCTACTATATTTGGTGTATGGAATGATTGTAAGGTGTACATGTCTAGCTGGCAGGTGTCATCTGACCTTGACCTCATTTTCATGGTTCAGTGGTCAAAGTTAAGGTCTTTTTTTCTAATACTGTATGCAATAGGTCTACTATATTTGGTGTATGGAATGATTGTAAGGTGTACATGTCTAGCTGGCAGGTGTCATCTGACCTTGACCTCATTTTCATGGTTCAGTGGTCAAAGTTAAGTGTTTGAGTTTTGGTCTTTTTTTCTAATACTATATGCAATAGGTCAACTATATTTGTTGTATGGAAGAATTGTTAGCTGTACATGCCTGCCTAGCATGGTTCATCTGACCTTGACCTCATTTTCATGGTTCATTGGTCAATGTTTAGTTTACTTGGTTAATGTTAAGCTTATGTGATAGTTGTAATAAAGCTTTATATTTAGGACTATCAACATAATATCAATGATTAGTAAAGAAGGCGAGACATTTCAGCGTGTGCACTCTTGTTTAGACAGGTTTTATGATAAATATCAAGACAGCCAGAATAAGTGCTACTTTATCTGATCTTGATTGCATAAGCTAAATATTAAATTTTCTAATTAAGTCAGTTTGAGAATTAAGTATTTGGAGAATGCAATTAATATTTGGTATACAGTAACAGTGTAACACCAGGCCTGTTCCCTCAGACTTCCTCATAATCTTGAAGTGATCAAAATTTTTCTGTCATTAAAATACACATCCTGTGTCAACCCTTTGCTTACAACTATCTGTCATTCTGACAACATTCTGTTCTACTTTCTGTTCCTATGATTATTACACCAGCCAATGAAATTCCTGTCTTAAAATTTTTGAGGATGTGTATCAAAACGATAAAACCAGAGGATCCTGAAAGGTCTATAAAACAGAAAGTAGAATGGAGCATTGTCAGATCCTTGTAAGGGAAGTGTGGACCAGGGTTTCTCCTGGATCAATTTTCTTTCTTGCCACCCATTTCGCCCAAACAATATATTTTTCACTACTTTCAATTTTTTTTTCGTCAACTAAAATAAACATTTTTTTCGTTAAAAATTCTCTTTAAAAAAAAAACATATATAATAATAAGTTAGCCATAGGAGACGTTTAAAAAACTATGCTTCAAACACGTACGTCACTAAAGCGATTGTGAAGTACATGAACTTCAAAACAATTATTTCTATCAAAGTTGTAAATAAATCCTTTAGATGACATATGACACCATTTAACCATACCATTTCATTACACAACACAATCAATACCTTTATTGATTAGTCCATTGTTGCCGATAGCTATAAAATGCAATCAGCTGATTATTGATTTTCTATCAAAATCGTAATGAGTTCAAGGTGAATTCCAAGGATTGCCTGATCAGGGAAAAAGTGAGCAAGATGGACGAAGTCGAACCGTTACATTTCTTTTGCCAAATTCTTTCGCCAATAATGGGAATATGGCGACCGCCAGCGGAAACCCTGGTGTTGACACAGATTTGTATTTTAATCAGATTGTGTCAAGATTCGTTAATGATTGGCCATAAATATTTGATATGGTGTTTGATAAGCATTTACGCATTATAGCTTTATGTTAGGGCACATCCTTCCATCATAAGTTCGTGACTTTTAACTTTCATCCTTCAGAGGGGGTCTTGATGGCAGAGTGGTCTAAGTAGTTCATCTAATTTATCACTAGCCTGTGAACACTGAGGGTGTGAGTTCAAACCTTGCATGTGGCAAGTGCGTGCAACCCAGGCTTCTTCCGCCAGTAAAAACTCTTGTCACAATATAGGTAATAATGCTGATAGTGGTGTTAAACACAAACAATCAATCAATCAATAAATCATTCTTCTTATGTTTTTTGTCGTGCAAAGTCCAAATGGTAATGATCCTCTCTTCCATACCTTTCCTGCTTCTGAATTTTGTTATAACTGGAATATAAATAAATTTGGAGGGCATATTTCAGTAAATCATGTACATGATCCACCCATATACTTTTAATTTGGTATTCATTTGAAAATGTGACCAATATATCCATAAAAGAATCTTAATTTGCTCAATTGACATTTCAGTCTCGGGATTTATGAAATAATACATAAATACATGTTATTTTAGGTTGATATAATCACGATCATTTTGTTTTTATTTATTAATTTATTTATTAGATGTTGTGATGCTATTATTGTAATTTAGTTCCTTTGTGTAAAGTTTTTATTTTTCTAGAAATACAATTTTTAGAAGCTTTTTAGACACACATATATATTATAGCATAGAATATAATTTTCTTGCAGCACATCAATTGTAAAACCAAACAATATTTTTGTGATTATTTCACAAATTTTCATTTGCTAAACAATATATATAGCATCATTCATTAAGTTTAAATTAAAATGTTAGGCATACTACAAGATTATGATTTTGATGTCTGTTTTGATGAAAGCATGCACAAAGTATATTACTGGCTCATTTTGCTGATGATTTGTTTATATTTCATAGTGTTTCAGTTTGCAGTGTGAACAATTATATTTTGCATGGTATTAGTTGTTGATTCAGAGCATGACAATGGTCAGTAGTGAATCTGAAATCCCATGCTTAAATTAGGGATATATAAGATCATATTATACTATAAACCTCATGCAGAACATTCAACTATGATAAAGAGAACTTCTGAATATAAATTAATAGGGGCTGTTATATTATTGACACAGATTAATTTAATTTTATTATTTTTTTTTTACATGAATGCTTTGAGACATTGACGAAACTGCCTATTTATACCAACTCACTACTAATTCAGGGAGTTATCTCCCTTTACCATGATCTACCCATTTAAGGTGTAATACCACCAAGTCATAGTACATCACATCTGTTTTCATACGGAAAAGGGTCTAAAAAATATTCCCTTGAATTTGACAGTTGTAGGAAATTAACCCTGCATTTCATTGCAGAAAAAAAAATTGTGAGTCATAAACATACAATGTATATCTTGGGTATTTCAAAGCACCATTCTTTTTTTTTATTTGGTGTTTCTATAAAATATTTTAGAAAATTGGGGTTACTAATGCATGTAAACAGGAAAAAAAGGGGTGATGATTATTATCTTATATGCAATGAAATGTTATGTGAAATTTTCACTGCAGTACTGACAGGATAAAATTTTACTCATGCCAAATATTTCTTTATTTGAAACAAAGATCAAATCTGCACATTTTTTTGCAAAGTCCCAATTTAACAAAGACTATTAGGGAAAAACAATGGTGGTATTACTCCTTAAACAATCTATCTAATTCTTAATAAAACAAAAGATGACATAATATACATGTATTTACTTGCAACTTATGAATGTTCAGCATCATTCAGATAATTTCTGTATATATCATAACAATTATATAATCAATGTTAATTTTGACTGCAGTATGAATTACAAATTCCTATATTTTCCAGATTAATGCCAGAAAGGAAATCATTCAGAGCCTACACAGCTATAGTGTATGTAGACCCCAGTATGAAAATTTATATTCAGGGCAAAAAAGTACGGACGAAGCGTTTAGCTTGCTGCTTATATAAACCCAAAATGTACAAATATTCTTCGAATCGATTCAAGACGCGAGCCGAGATGGATGTCACCAAATCAAAAGAAGATGCAAAAAATGCTGAACATCGAGCAAAAGAAGCAGAAAGTAAAGCTAAGTATGTATTAAAATATATTTTTTTCCCTTATGCAGTGAAAAAAAAACCGCTTTACAAATAATATGCAAATTTATATTATTTTAAGTTAGAGTATAAACATGATAGAAATGTATGAAAACTGAACATATTATACATTTTTAACTAAATGGCATTGAGTGCATTAACATTTAAACAGGGGAGATAATTTACTAAATCTCATCAAATTTATTGAAATATTGCAATTTGATCGTAATATCCCAGTGCTTTCCTATGGTTTTGTTATGTGTTAAAGCCTTACAAGTTGGAAACCATGTTTGCTGTGTTGGATTATGTCATGGTTAATACTTATTCTTCAATGTCACATTTTCTGACATTTTGATTGAAACAGTTGAGAACTGCTTGAAATTGATAAAAAAAAAATGAACTATTTGCTTAGAAGACAGTATGGGTAAGAACACCTTGTAAGCAATACTTTAGAATTATTAGGGCCCTGTTGACTAGTCAGTTGGTGCCCTGAAGTAATCACTAAGTCTTTGTCCCACTGTCTGTCAGTACAAGGTTAAATATACTATTCAAAATTGTTCCTTGTTATCATAATAGTTTTCTTAAAATTGACAGCCCATGTACGTGGATTGCTTTGTATGCATCAGTCTCAGTACCTCACATGAAAATGTGCATGCGGGGCCCTTGCTGTCATGTCAATTTTCTAGTTATTCTTGGGGTGCACAGTTTTTGTCTCGCCTTGACGGAGTCAAAAAGCGAGACATAGGTATGCTGTTTCCGGCGGCGACGGCGGCGTCAACAATGTATTAGTTTGTGATTAGGTCTAGTTCATGGTGAACCACTAGTGGTAGGTCAATGATATTTGGTATGCAGTTGTATTAGCATTGGCACATCTCATTACCATGGAGATTATTTGGCCCCGCCCCCTCAGTCAAGGTCTATTGACTTTGAAACTTTTCATAGTTTACATGTATTAGTTTGTGATTAGGTCAATTTATGGGGAACCACTAGTGGTAGGTCAATGATATTTGGTATGCAGTTGTATAAGCATTGGCATATCTCATTTCCATGGAGGTTATTTGGCGCCGCCCCCTTAGTCATGGTCTATAGACTTTGAAAATTTTGCTAAGTTAACATGTATTAGTTTGTGATTAGATCAGTTCAAGGGGAACCATTAGTGGTAGGCCAATGTTAATTGGTGTTCAGTTGTATAAGCATTAGCACATCTCATTTCCATGGAAAATATTTGGCCCCGCCCCCTCAGTCATGGTCTATTGACTTTGAAACATTTGCTTAGTTTACATGTATTAGTTTGTGATTAGATCAGTTTAAGATGAACTGCTAATGTTAAGTCAATGTTATTTGGTATGCAAATGTATTGGCATTTGCAAGTATTGTTTCCATGGAGATTATATAGCCCCACCCCTGATCATGGTTCATTGACTTTGAAACTTTTACATAGTTTACAAGTTAATGTTTGTGTTTAGGTTTGTTTAAAGGAAACGACTTATAATAAGTCAATGGTATTTGGTATGCAGTTGTATTAGCATTGGCACATCTCATTCCATGGAGATTGTTTAGCCATGTACCTTCAGTCATGGTTCATCGACTTTGAATATTTGCATAACTTACATGTTAAAGTATTGCTATTTTAATTTCAACATTTGCATTATCAAAATTACAAAAAGGCGAGACATATTTCTGTGATAACAGTTTATGTTAATTCATGGTTATATGTGGACTACAAATTTAAGTGTTAAGAAAATAGAAAATAAAAGGATATGGAGTAAATGTACATGGGACAAAATCGCACACAATACATAGAAAACATAGAAGATTATCAATGAACAGGGCTTTTATTCCTGTTCTTCATCTTGACAGTTGATGTAGGGTCTTCAACAATGAAAGAATCATTCATACCCTACAACAAGGTCAAGACGGCCCCTAGCGTCGACTTAAGCAGTACTAATGATAAAAATAAACCACAGTTCACCTTCTTTTTAGGTTTTTATTGTTTAAATTAAATACAAACTTCCTGTTTTGTACGCAGAATTTGTAAAATCCACAAAAATAAGTGACAATTTGTTTAATTGAAAATTGGTACCAACCTGCCAACTAAAATAAATGAATCCAAAGTATAAACCTAAATTTTCTTTAAAGATTATGAAAAACGGTGTATGAGTACAGTTTTTATAAATATATAAGAAATATTGAGATATTTAAAGTGATTGAGTTTTAATCAAAGATTTAATAATATTTTATTATATAGTTGGAATGAAATAATGTTTGCGGAGCATTTGATCAAGGGCCAGTCACTAGTAATTTCTCTCAATGAATCCCATACTGACAGATAAGTTTGTAAGTGCTAGAAAGTAACATATACATTTCAGATCTTTTTCCTGGATAATTTGTTTATTGAACAATTTTACCATCAAGACAAACAAATAATATTGAAATGTTTTATTTTGTAGACACATAGAATCAAAACAAGGAGGTTCGTTAAAAGAACACAGGGTAAGGTTGTATTGATAAAAGGAGATGGGTATACACCATGTCAGACAGCAAGCCACAAAAAACAAAACTAGTCAACATATAGTAAACACTATACAAATTAATTCAAAAAATTTCTTGTTCATGACAGATAGAATATATCATTAACACCTTAGGACTGTTGCATAAAAGCATACAAGGGAACCAGAGAAGAATCAAAATCTTAAAAATTGAGTGTCAAACACTGATAACAGTATTGTCCAGAGAAAATGTAAGAGAAAGAAGAAAATTACCTCTATAGATGGTTACCCCATTTTCAAAGTGCTTTCCATCAGTGCCAAGGATATTTTAATGTAACAGCCCTAAAATTTCTACAAAATATCTGATTAAGAAATATACAGTACAATGTTAATGTAAGTATAAATGGAGAGCAGAGTACACTCAACTGTCTAATAAAGATCATGTATTTGCAAAAAATGTCCATTCATTTTAAAATACTTTAAGATTTTTACAAAGAAGAATTTATGTTAGTATCAGAACAAACTGTTGAGGTCTTATGCATTTTGCTAACTAGTTAAATGTCAAAATTTTATTATAGGCTGAGCTGCGGAGAGCACAACAGCATGCTGCAGAGTTACGGAGAGACGCCAAGTTAAAAAAAGAGTTGGCAGACCGAAAGGAGAGGTATTAATGATTTTTCAGAGGCATTACACATAAATCAATAAGGTTTTTACCGATTTCTTGGAAATTTACAATTCTAATTTTATTTTATGAATGGTTGTTCTAAAAAATATTAAGGTTTGAGACCAAAATTGCTCTGAGACAGGTTTTAGTCTCATCAAATTATCAAAGATAATGTCACTTGAAGTAGGCTGTTTCACCAGAGCAAAATAAATATCAGTATCTGACAAATGATTAGCTCTAGCTAGATAAGCGGGTTGCTCGTGTGGTAAAGGATTATTTTTGTGCAACTTGTTTGCAATTGTTATTTCATGTGTTTTTGTGCTTGAAACTCATTATGCACTGTGTTTCATTTTAATTGTTTAAAAACAAGGTTAAAAACAAAAGGTCAGCTATTATTTAATATTTGTTTATCCTGAAATGGCCATTTTATTTATGTTCGTCTGTGCACACACACATGTTGGTGGTTCTTCCCTTGCACTCCAGTCTCCTCCACAAATAAAAACTGGTCGACTTGATAAAGACAAGAATGCTAAAAATGGCGTTGAGCACCAACAATCAATAGAAAATGTATATAATGTTTTGATACATGACACAAGATCACAACATGCTTCTGACAAACATGAAACAAATGAATGTCTTTTGTTTTTGCTGTTCTTCACACAAAGTCACAAGGACAAGCTCACAACTTGTGTTACAGCTTTTCTATAAAAGCATGCAAAGCAAACCTTTAATCAACTTGCTTGCTATGTTTGTTTGGATGTTTGTAAACAACAGGTAGGTAGTCTATTTCAGTCACTACATATTGGAATTTGATTGGACAATAAACATTAACTTCAGTTAAATGTTAAGTTTCACATTGTATGTCAATTTTTATTGTCCAATCAAATACCAGTATATATTAAACAGACTGAAACTCTCCGCCTACCCTTTTGTTTACAAACATCCAAGCAAACATAGCAAGCAAGTCATTCAAAGGTTTGCTTTTCATGCTTTTATAGAAAAGTTGTAAGTTGAAAATTGGCCCTGATACTGGTTTAAGACGAGTTCTTTGCCAGCTGACAGATGTCATTAATACATATAACAAATATTCTCAAAAATAAAAAAACTAATTGAATTAAATAAATTAAAATATCATCAGGAGAATTAAGGAAACACTGTATTTCTTAATAAATTTCATTTTTTGTCTTTTTCAGGTCATTAAAAGAACCCAAAACACTGAATTTTATATTTGGTGTGAATCTGGATAATCGTAGTCATGATGGTGTATTTGTATATAATTGTAGTCGTCTTATAAAGATGTATGAAAAAGTAGGGCCACAAACAGATGGTGGTGTGTAAGTAGAAATTGGGCCTCACTGTATTGATTAGAGTTTTTGAGATTTTTGGGTAAAGGTTTGTGTAGATAATTTGTGCCTCACTGTATAGATATAGAGTTTTTGAGATTTTTGGGTAAAGGTTTGTGTAGATAATTTGTGCTTCACTGTATAGATTAGAGTTTTTGAGATTTTTGGGTAAAGGTTTGGGTAGATAATTGTGCCTTACCGTATAGATTAGAGTTTTTGAGATTTTTGGGTAAAGGTTCGTGTAGATAGATTAAAATTTGCTTAGGGCTATTCCAGAAAAAAACAATATGAGGGTGTTTGAAGGCACATTTTTGCATGGCCATCACCCATACAATTTTATTTTACTTTGCATACATTACCACACAATTTGAACTTCGTGACTTGCCCCTACCCATGCAAAAATAATTAAAGTGCCTTCCAACCACCAATATATTTTTTTCTGTAATAGCCCTTAAATTAAAATCCACTGGCTGAATTTAGAACTGCTGAACCAATTCCAACCCAGTAATTTCTTTCTTGAATATAAATATGCAACGGCTATTCCAGAATTAAATGTATGGGAGGCACTTTTTCCACTCTTTTTTTTTACCCCAACCACCCATATTACACAATTTTCATTTTACTTATAATTTTCATAAAATTCAAAGAAAAATGCAACCACCCACAATTAATTGATTTGAGTGCCTCTCATCCCCCATTTTAATTGAAAAGGTTTTGCACAATTTTTATACGACTGCAAAAAAAATGTTTGGGTTCATAAATGCTATGATGTTGTCGTCGTGGTCTGCGTCGTCATGTGATTTCCTGACAATTACTTTAGTTTAAGTGAATGGATCTCTATGAAATTTTACCATAAGGTTCAATACCACAAAAGGAAGGTTGGGATTAATTTTGGGGGTTATGGTACCAACAGTTAAGGAATTAGGGGCCAAAAACAAGCATTTTTGTAGATAAACGTATTTACACTTTTGGTATTTAGCTATATTTTGCCTCGGAATGACCTTAGATCTACTCCGAATCACCTTTTGACGTCAGGCAACAATCACTTTTTAATTGTGACGTCAAATGTTTTGAATTATGATGTCAAAGTTTACGGGAACCTGTGATTTTACGTAATGGCGGACAAATTTGCATACAAGTGTAAATACGTCTATTCCGGACAATAACTTGTGTGTAAGTGTATGAATCTCACTGAAATTGTACTACAAGGTTCCATACCTCAAAGGAAAGGCTGGGATTGAGTTTGGGAGTAATTACTCCAAGGGGGGTCAAAAAGATTGGGGGGGGGGGGGATTTTCTTTCTTCAAAATTTTTGAAATTTCAAATTTTTTGCAAAGTTTCAAGAAGAAATTTTCAATTGAAAGTATTGCGCAATAGATATTGAAGATCTTTGACCACATTTATTTTGTGTCAGAAACCTATATTATGTCAAAAATTTGATCACAATCCAAATTCAGACAGTATCAAGCTTGAATATTGTGTCCAAACTTGCCCCAACTATTCAGGGATCGACCTCTGCGGTCGTATCAGACTGTGCTCAGCGAAGCATTTTATTGTCTCTGAAATAAAATGGATTCATTTATTTTCTTGGATACCAATGTTCATGTGAAGGAAAACTTTCATTTTCCTGGATATTTGATTATCATGGTTTTGTCAAAGTAGAATTTTTTGTGATTTTTAAACATTTAAATGTGTGGTCCATCCATGTCATCTGTACTCACGAACTCCACAAAAATTGGTTTCCAACAAATAATGAATCTACAATACATTGTAAAACTGATTACTAATTGTGACCTCAAAATATGTAGAATAGATCAACCAACTGCTAGTCTACCATGGCAGAAAGGATGGGGAAAACAAAATTTGATATCACATGACATATAAATCTTTCTTCCATAAAAGACCAGAAATTTGTTAAATAAAAATTTTCAAATATCAGTATGCTTAATTGTAAAAGACTATTTCAGGGAGTGTGATATGTTGTAAGTAGGCTACTTTTACTTAATTCATGCTAGATTCTGTGGACAGGTCATTCCTGTGATTAATTTTTTTTTAGCTATCAAAAGGTAACCATCAATTTAAAGGTTTATAAAGGGTATTTAATACTGTGGATACCAATGTTCATGGATTGGTGAAAAATTGTATTTTTGTGGATTTGCCAAAGTCTGTAAACAAGCCTTTAGGGCTGTTCCATTAAAACATACATGGAACCCAGGGAAGGCACTTTGAAAATGGGGTAACCATCTATAGAGGCAATTTAAAATTTCACTTGCATTTCCACTATGCAAAAACATAGATGACACCCACCCATAGTTGAGATTTGGAAGTGCCATTCCTGGGTCTGATGTATGTTTTTATGGAACAGCCCTTAGAAAATTTGTGCTTGGTTGAACATTTAAATTCATGGTTCTCTTATATCAACGAAATCCACAAAAATTGGTATCCCATGAATAATCATGAATCCACAGTAGTGGAAATGAAGCATATAAAATTAACCACAAATGTAAAAGTAAAATGTTTCCTTTGGTATGCCAAAATTCCTGATTTATACAAATTTTATCCAGTTTTGATCTTCATATTATATTTTGCCTACTAATTGTTGATCATGCACATGTATGTTTTCAACTAACCCGAATAATTCAGTCGTTATATTCCGCTGATCTACGAAGGCTACATTAACGCCTGAACGTCTTCCTCGATAAAGACCGTCAACCGGAAAATTCACACCGCTATGCAATATGGGAATTTTGATTTAAGTTGGCAGCTAAAGAAGGAGGAGTTTCGGATGTAAATTGATGTTAAATGATGTAAACTGATGTTAATTGATGTTAATTAATTATTATCGGATTTGTGTTAATTGAACACACGTGTTTAGTAAGACAATTACAAGACAGTTGCGCAGACTCATTATCCTGATCGCCGCCGATTGGCTCTCTCTCACAGAGAGCAGACGACGCGGCCAATGATCATAAGGAGTTCAAGCCCTCGTGTGGGAGAAAATCTGACACGGAAAGGGCTTGAATTATTCGAGTTAGTTTTCAACAGAACAAAGTTTCTGGTGTATCCAGGATTTTCATTATATAAATGACATTCTAATGCAACATCGTTTGTAACGTCTGTTTTCATTGGATAACGTGACCAATTTTCATGGCATCAATTCACAATTGATCATGCTATGAAAACTCATGCGTAAGTGCAGACGACGTATGACAGATTTAAAATGTATGATTTGACGTTGTTTTCTGCCAGTTTTATTAGAATGGAGATAACAATATTGTATTTTAAGCTCCGACGGCATCAAATCACCAATTCATGCAGTCCGAGCTTAAAATACAATACAGTTATCTCCTAATTGAACTGTCCTAAGTTTTTCAGATAAATTTTTTATAAGGAAAATTGTAAAAATTTAAACAAGTAAATCCTAAAATTATTAAAATATGAAATTTATATTTTGGTGCATGATGGGTTTGTCAACTTTGCTTGAAGTCTTGAGAGGGAATAGTTGGTTCTGTTAAAGAGATTTCTGCAAGATTAAGGTTGCCAGAGGTTTTAGATCTGACATTGTTAATGGTCTATGGGTTGCCTGATATGTTTCTGCTCACTTGCTTTTGTTTATTTGTTTTGATACAAAATAAATGTAGTAAAACTGAAATTGATTTTAAAGGAAATTTGCACTTAAGGTGGTACCAAACATCTTGACTAAAATTAATTTGGCTCGTTTAATTTTCATGAAATTTTGACAAAAATATAAAAATTTCAAAAAACTTGAACCACACACTTTATCGGAAAAATTTCATTGGATATATAACAGTTTGACAAACACTAATTTTGATCATTGAGAAGCGTAATATTTCCTTAACAATAGAACGTGATTAAAACGGTCAGCTGATTTTTAAAGAGTTATCTCCCTGTATTGTTATGTACCACCTTAATCTTGATGCTGAGATGTTAATGATAACTGATGCTGAAAATTGTCTTTATAAATAGATTTTGTTCAGTAATTTTTACGAAAAGGAATATAAACATTTGTTTTTAGATGTTGTATTCTGCAGATTTTTTACATGTCAGTTTTATAATCTGTAATTTTCATTGTACATTTCAGATTTTGCAGTGGTATTGTAGGAATAGTAGATATACCATACTTAGTATTAGAACCCACACACAACAAACAGGATTTTGCCGATGCTCGGGAATATCGACACATGATGAAAGCTATGGGGGAACACATGGAACAGTATTGGAAAGACATTGGAATAGGTCTGTTTTCTTGTGATTTTTTGTAAATTATTCACTGTTGATATCCTATCATTTTTCTTGTACAAAGAAAGTGAGCATTAAATATGGCAAAGAACACATTAAATGAAATATTTAGAATTTATTACCAAATTTGGAAATTGAAGAAAGAAAATGCTGATTGATGTCTATTTATCAAGAAAACAAATGTTGATTTGAAAAAATGGATTTTTAAGAAATTTTTTTCTGCAAATAAATAGAAGTAACATGGACAGCATGCTATACAATAAGTATACTGTAAACATAATTCACTGATTTTTTCTTTCTTAATTTTTTGCCTTTTTTATCTTTCAAAACAATTTTATGGCAATTAATTATAGCTTTTGCTTTTTTTCTGGGGAAAAATATATAGTTGGTTTATCTTATACTTAGTGTAAGTACAAATTCTTCACAAATTGTCAGCAACATTATTGCGAACAAATGAAACTTTTCCACAGAGTCATCTCCTATTGGTCAATCTATTTAAACTTTTGTCAGTTCTGTTTTCCCATTGAATTAATACAATAGCTATTGTTCCCTGTGTAGTTTATTCACTGGGACCTTTAAAAATTTCTTCTAAGAGAAATCCATCACTCATTGATTTACCTGAGTAAAAAAATTATCTTCTATATAGAACAATAGCTATTGTAATTATTCAATGGGACAATAGAACTGACAAAAGTTTAAATAGATTGACCATTAGAAGATGACTCTGTGGAAAAGTTTCATTTTGGTTTGCAATAATTATAAAACTAGAGTGACAAATCTGGATAATTTTTTTTTTTCATGTCAGTAATACTTTTTAAGTATATAACACAGAAGGAAGTGCATTGTAAAAAATAAAAATAGGAATTATCATTACTTCGTTATTTTCTTTTACAGGGAACCAAGGTGTCACAACATTTTGGTAAGTAATTGCATTTGTAGAATATTTTTTTGGCTTGGTTGAAATATAGAAAAACCAAATGGTTCCGTTTATTCACTAAAAAAAAGAGAAATTGTATTTGTTTTATATATAAGAAAGCCAATGAATGAAATCTTTGTTAAATCTTGACAAATTTTTTCACTGAACCCTATGTAAATCTGATATCTGCTGCTTCTAAACTCTTTGTATCTATTCATGTAAATGTTGTTCATCAATTGAATATATGGAAAATGAAAATTTGTCTAATACAAAAAAATATTTAGTGGAAAAATTTTGACTTGAAAATTTTGACTACGATTGAATTTGGAAAGAAGGATAAGTCTGTTGCCAAATTTTCATATCGTTTAGATAGACTTATAGAAAATGATATAAACTCAAAATATGAAATTAAGATTTGAATAGAAGCAAAGTTACTATTTGAAATTTACTAATAAACATTTGCTTATTTAATGTTTTGTACTATGTTGCAGGGAAAACTTTGGTTATGTTAGCCATTCATGGAAAGACCCACCATCAGGTGATATCAAATACCAGAGAAAACGTGCCATGCAGGTTAATACAACATTACAATGTGGTACGTATATTTCATATATAAATGGAAGAAAATGCGGTATGAATAAAATATTCAGATGAATGAGGGAGAGATTTTTCCAGGAAATTAAGGCTGAAATATCAAACTGTATACTGTATCGCACTGGATGTAATGGTAGAAACTATATTTTACAGAAAATAAAAAAATAGCAAGATGTGGTATAATTGCCAACGAGACAACTCACCACAAGACACCAAATGACACAGAAATTAACAACTATAGGTCACCGTACAGCCTTCAACAATGAGCAAAACCCATACCGCATAGTCAGCTATAAAAGGCCAGGAAAAATAATAGACATTTATATTCACCAAGAGAAAGTTATTATTAAACATCTGTAGGCAAATGTTTTCTTTGCAAATATGCAGGGTTTAAGCTAGGATTTTGAGGGCTTTAGTCACTTTTGCGCGGGATGAAAATCAACCTTATTTTGGGTAGCAGCAAGGGACCTATGATGTATATTACTATCTATACATCTTTGTCAGACTTTGAAGGACTTAGGCATACTAGGCAGTTACTGCATGATTTGACTGATGTGGCACTTTAATACAAAGATTAGGATATAAGATCTGGAAATCTAGTTCACAATTTCACTTCAGTTAGTTTCAGGGTACATTCCTAATCAGCAAAAGTTGGGATCCATTTTTTTTAAAACCAGGAATCACAGCATAAATGAACTTGTAAGGACTATTTCACTGCATTATTCATACTCATTATCCTTAAAAACATTTTAAAGCGATATTTAGAATTAATTCTATAAAGTTGGAACCAAGGATTTGTACAAATCCTTATTGGAACAATTCTAATGACTTTAAATTGTAAATTTATCATGAATAGATCACGTTTACTTTCGATTTCCAAATGAAATGAAAACGGGAAGTGACAAGTGGATAATAAATTCAGAATGAATCCAGATTCATCTAATTGATTTGTGTTTGAAAAAGGCAGGAAATTATCATTTTTGTCGAGCCTTAGACTTTTGTCGAAAAAGCGAGACATAGCGATCCTACATTCTGTCGTCGTCGGCGGCCGCGTCCACAAATATTCACTCTGTGGTTAAAGTTTTTGAAATATTAATAACTTTCTTAAACTATCCTGGATTTCTACCAAACTTGGACAGAAGCTTATTTATGATCATAAGATAATATTCAAAAGTAAATTTTGTAAAAAAAAATTCCATTTTTTCCTTATTTTACTTATAAATGGACTTAGTTTTTTCTGCCAGTTAACATTACATTCACTCTGTGGTTAAAGTTTTTAAAATTTTAACAACTTTCTTAAACTATCCTGGATTTGTACCAAACTTGGACAGATGGTTGTTTATGATTAAAGGCTAGTATCTAGAAGGAAATTTTGTTAAAATTTTGTTCCATTTTTTCCGTATTTTACTTATAAATGGACTTAGTTTTTCTTCCAGTTAACATTACGTACAGTCTGCAGTTTAAGTTTTTAAAACATTTATTAGATTCATAAACTATCCTGGATTTTTACTAAACTTGGACAGAAGCTACTTACAATCAAAATATATTATAGAGAGGAATATTTTTATTAATTTTTTTCCTCATTTTTGTCGAGCCTGTGATTAACAGCAAAAGTAGGCGAGACACTGGGATCCGCGGAACCCTCACGAATTTTTTAAATTAAATTTGCTTAATAAGAACTATATTTGTGTCTCTAGTTTAGTTTGATACTTAATTATGTCGTATTTTACGTTAAGTGTCTTTAAATTAAGAATACTTTCGCGTATGCGCAGTTCATCGTAAAGGAAGCACCTGTTTGACTCGTGAAAACATTTCTGAATGTTATGAATAAAGTTCTATCTTTTTAATCGAAATTGTCGAAAGTTTTTGATTAAAAGTTATATCAAATATGACTAAAATACGTTCATTTGACGAAACGACGACAAGCGAACTGCAAATTGTAATCGTTTGAGAAATATTGAAATTAAAATGCGAACTGTCCGAGGGAAAACTCAAATGACGAAACTACAACAAACGAACTGCAAATTGTGCACGTTTTATAAATATTGAAATTAAAATGCCGACTGACTGATTTTACTGGGGAAAATAATTATGATGATCAATTATGAGGTTGATAAATAATTAACGGATTAGTGACCCATCCGATGGCGATAAGCGGATTATCTGTAATCACAACTTATAACACCTGTTGTAAATGTTAAATAACTGAGAGTCGTAAACTTGTCAGAAACAATAAGACAGGTAGAATTATAGTATTTTCATGCGAAAATATTTTTACTCTTTCCAAATTTAAGTGACGAAATTGATTTGGAATACTTTCGTCATTTTGAAAACCGTTTCGTAAATGACGAAAATGACGAGCGCTAGCAAAATCACTGCAAATAAGATTACCAGCATCACATATGAAGATGAATAATCTGTAGCCCATAGAGCCTTGAAATTACTTATTAATAAATTAAGTTGCAACCAATGAACCATTTGTACAGTTTTAAATAAGTTGTAAAGTCTTGTAATATATGCAAAATACACTCAACATCTCGAAATTGTTCACATGAACCAGGTCTTTTATATTCTCTCTCAATCTCAATCAAAGGATTTCCTCAGCAAAATACACTCTACATCTTGGAATTGAACTTGAAGGATTTCTTCCACTGATTTATTATGAAAACTTTGTGAATGATTTACTTATGCAGATTTTGTTATAATTTACTATTGATCTTATTTTATTGTAGATAATTGTTTAAAATGGAGAATAATACCATTCTCTTCTAATAATATAAGTAAAGACTTTAGTGATGATTGGATCTGTGACATGAATGCAGATGTTCAGCATAATAAGTATGTATAGCAATACTGTGGATTCATTATTCGTTGGATACCAGTTTTTTGTGGATTTTGTGGGAATAGATAAACCACGAATTTGATTTTCAACAAAGTCCCATTATTCTGTAAGCCTTGTATTCAGACTTATGCAAAACCACATAATCAAATATCCTTAATAATACAAGTTTTCCTCAATCCACGAAAATTGGTATCCACGAAAATAAATGAATCCACTGTAAGTATTATCTTTTATTTGTCAGGGCTTTGGTGATCGATTGGTCTAAGTTGTTTATCTTCATTAAACACTAGCTTGTCAACACTGTAGTTGGGAATTCAAACCTGCTAGTAGCAAGGAAAACTGTTGGTAAAGGTCACCATCTTTGCTGATTATCTCACTTGTTGACATTGAAGTAGAGAGAAAGTAGAAACCATGCTTTGGTTGCCATGTCAACATGGTTATGGACATCTCTCTAAAATATAAGTACATTAGGTATTACCAATTCCTCATTACCATTTCTTTCTATAGATCGACTTGGATTGTTAATACCTGACTAAGGTAGGTGGTTCTCTCCACTATGCAGGCTCTACCAACAATTTAAAAACTGATTGCCTTGAAATAGGATAACTGAAAGTGGTGTTAAACACCAATAATCAATCAATCCGGATTTCATGGGAAGTTAATAATGCATCTGCTGTATTTCTATTTTTAGATGTACACAAGCCGAACAGAAGATGAATATACCGGAAGGTCAATTAAAAAAAGCTGTTAGATCTCAGGAACAGAAACAGAAAGACATAGAAGAGGTTTGCAGCTAGTTATTTACAGCTCTTTTCATAATGCTAGCAAGACAAAGGTTTGTTTGGCTTGCTTACTTTGTTTGTATCAATGTTTGCTCAAGCATTGTAATTAAGATTGACATCTGAAAACAACATAAAAAGGTGGATTTAAACTTGTATATATTGTATTTAAATTTGATTGGACATTATCAAATAATCAAATTTACCTTTACACAGGTTTAACTCTGCCTACTTATATTGTTTGCAGATGTCAATCTTAATTACAATGCTTTTGCAAACATTGATACAAACAAAGCAAGCAAGCCAAACAAACCTTTGTCTTGCTAGCATTATGAAAAGAGCTGTAACTAAGTACTTATAGTTGATTATATATATGAGTTCGAATCCCGGCCAGGGAAAATAAAAAAATTTGCTTCCGCAAATTTACAGATCTAACATTGTTGGGCTGTTGTTTAGACAAATTATACTCCCTTTCACATCCTTATATATATAAGGATGTGAAAGGGAGCCAACAACATAGTAATTAATAATAAGCCTAATCAAGATAGTCTAGAGGAAATTTTCATGACCACAGCAAGTCTTAAGATTAGTGAAGGTTTCCATCTTTGCTGATTATCATACTTACTGACATAAAGCCAGATAGAAAGTAGAAACCATGCTCTGATGCAATGCAAAACATGGTTATGGACATCTGTCTGACATATTTGTGCATAAGATTTTACAATTTTTCAGTTCTAAATTTTCCCTTAATTAATTGCCTCCCTTTCCTAGTTTTGCAACTCATAGGAGCAAGAAATTTTATTATTGCTAGATGACATTTATTTTCTGCAAGAAAATTTTTCATAGGTTAATTGTTTTATTAATTGTTCGACTCTTTTGTTGTTAATTGTTTGAAAAAAATATCAAATAATGTTTGTACATATAAATAGTTTTTATATGGAGTAAAAAAAAATTTACAGGAAAATCAAGAGTAACTTCAGATTTAAGGGAAAGAAAATCAGACAACAACAAGATGTATATTAATAAAGAAAAACACATAGAAAAGAAAACAATCGACAGAACAAAATAGTGAAAACTGAAGATTCTGCAACACAAAGCACACAAAATAACATGAATTCAGATGCTCCAGAAGGGGTTGGCATTTCCTGCTTTACTAGTGGCGCCTGTTGTGTTCCTCATAACAAATCATACAAAACAAAGATTATTAGTCTGAAACGATTGCTTTTGAAGAATGTTCAAGAAATGATGTGTGGTCAGAATGAATGATAGTGTGATGTTAAATTTTTGTACACAGAGAATGTTCAAGAATTTTGAAAATTTAATGCTTTCTGTGTTTTTGAAATTCAAGCATATTATTTTTTATTTAGGATATACGGAGGAAAACAGAACAGTTAGAGAAAATGCAGGTAAATTGTCTCAGTTTTTACATTAATGGGTATCTAGAATCCTAATTTTTTGGAATGCCTCATCAACAACAACTTTAAAACTATTGAAGGGGTCCAGTATGTAATAGATATGGTCTATTTTAAAAAGGAATTAATCTATAAATTGGTTTTTAAGCAGTTTCCTATAACTGAAAAATATTGCATCTAAGAAAAATAATAAGATGAAAATGCAAAAACTTTGCTATTTGGATAATGTTGTTTTGATACAAGGAAAATAACTGATACACTTTTGTAAATTTAGGCTGTATATTCTGAACTTTTCAAGATTAGGGGAACAAAATTTAAAACTGTGTAATAGGATTAAATCAAAATATTTTAATAGAAGAAACAGTCATCATCTCGACAAGCAGAGGAAAAGGAAAGAAAACGAAAGGAAGATGATGATAGAAAGAAACAAGAAGAAATTGAAAGGCGAAGAAAAGAAAAAGAAGAAGCCGAAAGAAAAAAGGAACAAGCTAAAAAAATGAGAGAAGAAGCAGACAAAAAGCGAAAAGAAGATGCTGAAAGACGACGGAAAGAAGAATTGGACAGAAAAAAGAAATTAGATGCTGAAAGAAAAAGAAAGGAAGAACAGGAAAGAAAGAAGAAAGAGGAATCAGAGAGAAAAAAGAAAGAGGAGTCAGAAAGAAAAAAGAGGGAAGAGGCTGAAAGGAAAAGAGAAGAAGCTGCTGAAAAGAAAAGGTGAGATTGCATAGTTTCAATGATGTTGATCCTTTTTAATATTGTGTGGTTAATATAGGGAAGGGATAATTTATTATGTACATGGGTTAACAGTATCAAGGTGTACTGAGAAATAACCTGACAATAAAGGAACTTTAAACTGCTATTCTTCATCTTGTAACTGACTAAAGGTCCAACAGTGATTGGCTGTTGAACTCACATCTACAGCATGGAGGAGACGAGTCTTAGTAATTAGTTATAAAGTTGTGTTGATCAAAATTGCTAATTTTATGAAAGGAACATGTTCATGAAATGTCTAAAAAAATAAATTTTGTTGTTTTCCTAAAAATACTGTGACTACACAATAAACTATAGCAATATTATTAAACTAAAGATTCAAATGGTTCATTTGAATGTAATGGTAGAAAATTGCTTCTGAAGTGCTATGGGGTTTTGGAGGTTTTGTAACTGATGAAAGTAATAAAACTATATTTTAATGATTACTTGAAAAATCTGCCAATGATATCTACAAAATTGATGAATTTCATTATTAGAAACATGTACAAAATACCTGTACCCATGGGAAAATGATTGTGATGGTATTATACTTTCGAAATTTTTTCTTATCAATTTGTTTACATACTGAGTAATAATATGTATTACTCCATTTAAATTTCTGATAGTAATATTTGTAAGTAATGATGAAAGAAACTCTTAGTCCAGTCCATTGATGAACATTCACAGTAATTAATGCACAATACTTGCAATGAACAACAAATGTAGGGAATATGTCCTTGCGACAGCTACCCAATGAAACAAACAACCAAAATACTTCTAGAGGTCAACTTAGTCTTCAACGATAGACAAGTGTCTTATACAATATATCAAACTCTAAATGGTCTTTCGCCTATAATTTAGGCAGACACTATCAAAGAGTTTCTATCAACACCAAATTCTCAAAATTAACAGTACTTTATTGAGAGAAATTCCATGCTGTTGCATAAGCCATGATAAGCCAAGGACGATACTAAAATTGAAAGTATATTAACTGATATTATATTGTAGATTGGATGCAGAAAAGAAAGCTGAGGCAGAAAGAAAGAAGGAAATAGAAAGGAAGAAACAAGAGGCAGAGAAGAAAAGAGAACAGAAAAGAAATAGTGTAAGAGGATATTTTGCATTCCCTTTATTATATAATATCTGCTGTAGGAGTTTTAAGTAAATGGTAAACAAGTACAAATTGACTTTAATTAATCAATCACTAATAGGCCACTGTCAGTTAATTTACAAATCTGAGTGAGGCATATTAGCAAGAACATTACTGATTCAGACACAGTGATACAGTGATAGGAAAATGTCAGAGGGTTACAAAATATTACAAAAATTTGAAAGTATAAGAATCGAACATTCCTTAACTTTTGTACAGTAATATGCAGACATTTTTGATGTTTCTATATTATTTTCATCCACAGGCTGTGTTTAAGACCCATTGGGGGCCTTGGGCTGTTTTCTGCTCTTTGGGTGGGTTGTTGTCTCTTTGACACATTCCCTGTTTCCATTCTCAATTTTATATCCTTATTCAACAATCATCAGTATATAATAACTTAAGTAACACATTAACTTATTTTACATAAAAATTGCTGGTTTTTTGCCAGAAACCCATCAAAAAGATAAGAATGTTAAATCCTGCAAAAATCCATACATAACCTGGGATAATTGTTTCAATGAAATTAACAGACTAAATTACTGTTATTTAAAATAGATAAAGTCTTCTAATATCTTCTTGGCTGATGCCACTCAGATATAAAATGCCTTTATCTAATACATACAATTTTTTCATGTTTTGATATTAACTTTCATACACAGGCAAGTAAAAGAGCTGCATCTCCTATACTACAATCATCAAGGATCACACCGACATCGTCAGCAAAGAAGGCTAAAATATCTTCACCTGTTGATTCAGACAGCGATGGATATGTCCCTACAAAGAAAATGAAAGCTGATGTGGATTCAACACCCTCTAGACGAGGTAGAAAAGCTCTCAATAGAAATATTGTGGAAGTAAGTAAAATTATTTATTGAAGCATTTTTCAAAATATTCGATATTGAAAAGGACTAAAAGAATATAATACGAGGATCAGAGTTATTTAAATGAAATGCTGGTTTGTGGAGGTTTTGAATTATCTTTTCAACTTAGCAAAAGTGAAAATGTGAAGCATCCTTCATTAAATATAGGAAGTTTGATCAAAATAGGTAATAATTTTCTCATCAGATAAAAAAAAAAAGGTGGTGTTTTAAAACAACATGAAATCAAACTAAGCCCAAGAATATATATGTCCATTTTCTGCCTCTCTACCCATCATACAACATTTTTTTTTGCTTTATTTAAAATATTGTCAAAGAAATAGAGTTTTGTGTCGTTAAAGTAGACTATGAATCCAATTTCCACTGACTTATTTAGTCAATATTGTGATTTAATAACCAGTGCCAGTCATAGCATTAGCAATCGCATATGTTAAAGGGTCTAATTATTGGATATGTAGTGTGAATTGGGATAAAACTTAGAGAAACATAATTTTTCTGGTTTTAGTCGTAAGAAAAAAATTTGGGAAAATTATAACCTACCGACCGTATTCTTTTGTGGCAGGAGGCAAGAAACATACATATATCTATTTATACTGCAGCTTGAATGCTTCTGGTTGTCCTTATCCACCAAAAGTAGAAACAAAGTAATGTTTTGTGCAATGTTGATTTCATGTCGCATCACTTTTCTTCACAATTTGGAGCTTGTTTAGGGATGAAAATTAATAGTTTTGTGTTTACATTTTCATGGCTATAACTGTAGCCATTTTTAGCTTCTGTTTTAAAAACAATATGAGGTAAATGTCAGAAAAATATCAACTTTTGTGTATTTGGGACACAATTGTCTAAGGGCTTAGTAAACCTTGCCGTTCCCCAGTTTCTAAGCCTCATACCAAAAAGTTGAAATTTTTTCTGACATTGAACTTATATTGTATATTTAAAGCCCTAGTAAAAATATAGTTCATATCAAATAGCCAGTTTCCACTTTAAATTACAGTCATCATGTGACGATTCTGATGCAGTGGTAGACACGAGGTCAGAGGATGATGATATGGGAATTGTATCAACTAATGACACAGATAATGAAGGTAAGAGTTATTTCCCTTAGACCGTTGAAAACACATCATCCTTAGTTTGAAATTCAATTTATAATGTAACTAAACCAATTTTTTATAGGACGTTTAGTTGATTTGGATTTTAATCTTAGATAAAGAAGGTTTTGGCATTTGTTCAGCTTTTTCACTGTGTCAATATAAAAAGTGGAACAAGGAAGCATATAGGAAGAACCATTTCATTGACTAATTCGGCCCACAAAAAACTTTCTTGTACAGATAAAAAGATGATTTTCATAGTTTCTTTTTTATATGACATAAAATAAAACAGATCTAGAAAAATCATCAATGCATTATTGCATTTGCTTGCCTGTCTATCAATATTTATATTTATGATTATGAGGGTCAAATGATCATCAGCAGTCCTCAGAGGTCATCTTGATAGTTAAATAGATGGCGTCTATTTGTAATATATGCATGAGATTCTAATACATTTGTAAGATTTTATGCTTGTTTATTGTTTCCTATGGAGCTTTTATAATTCTGGTAAATAGTTTAGTTTGTGTTTTAAATCAAATTAAAGAGTTTGATTCCATTCATTTTGACAGCTAATGCCCCTTTAAATGTATTTCAGCAAGTTTTAACTTTGGAAATAAACATTTAACCTTTGTAGGTTATTTTGTAAGTGGGCATTACTGCGGAACAAAATTATTCGTTGGATACCAGATTTTGTTGGTACAGGTTAACCACGAATTTAAATGTTCAACGAAGTACAAATTTTCGTTAGGCGTGTATGCAGACTTTTGTAAAATCATGATAAAATCAAATATCCACGAAAATACCTTTTCTCCTTAATCCACGAAAACTGGTACGGCCAAAAAAAAAATATATGTGTGTTTCCGGTCAACACTCATTTTATTGCCTCCACCCTAATTTTTTTTTATCAGCAATTTCTGAAATTCCTGCCTTTTTCGTCATGGGTACCAGTATTTACCGTATTAAACCACAATAGCAACCTCCAGTGCCAGCACTGCCAGGATTTTGTCACTGTGCACCATTACAGTGTCTTCTGTTACTCTGTATGTAGCTAATTGTGTCAAGAAACTACAATTAAACTCCCTTTTTGGCCTACCCACGAAAATGAATGAATCCACAGTAAATAAAAGAAGGCTAATTGTATAAATAATTTTTTAAAGGTGACTTGGGTACAAAGATTGAAGCAAGAATTAATGATAAATGGTAAGTTTTGTATTCCACTGTAATCAAGATGATGTAAGAATGATTAATTATTGATGTTTTACACCACAGTAGCACTAAAGCCTATATTGAGTCTATGCATTTATAGAAATGGTGATATCAAATTAACATGAAATGAATTTGAAAAGGGGATTGGGCAAAAAAGAGGAACGTGGTTCTGACTGCCAAAAGAATTATATTGGGAGTTAGATAGGGTCTAAAAATTTAGTCTCTGCAACGGTCCTAAGTGAGTTTAGTTACGAGAGGTTCCAGATGTGTTTTTCTCATTCTTGAAGCATGGCACTCTTTTTATCCTGTTCAATCATCAATGTCCCTTTCATAGGACATATTATGTATGATAAAGTGTAATCTGAGTGGTCATTGAATAGTTGTAATATTATGAAATGTAGAAAATATTATTTGTTGTATGCAATATTTACTGAAATTGCAAAAGTTATCTGACATTCGTTTGCATTGTTCAACAATTTCAGTATAATGAATTAATGCAAACATTTCAGAATTTGAATGTACTTCATATATGCATCATTTTAAATGGTAGTGATATGTGATAATAACCAAACATAGCTAATTATAAAAATACACAGTCAGGGTCCATTTTATAATTAATTTTTGGCTAAGTATTTGTCTGCCAAAGATTTTTAGATATCTTTAAAACTACTGGAATCATTGATTTGAAGTATATTTAATTTGTGGTTATCTCCCCTTGATTGTAATTTTTTTGTTTGTAGCTGTTCAATATGAACATTTTATGACTTTAATTTAATTTTGAATAGCTATGTCTATAAGAAATAATTTATTGAATGTGCGCAATATTTCTTTGAACGATGACTACTGATCAGTTGTTTAAAGCCATACTAATTCAGAAAACAAGAAAAGAGATATACTCATAAAAAGTCTGGATTTTCAAAAATTGTTTTGAAGGAGTTGGGTTGTTTTTATTTATTTCCATCAAGTAAAGATTAGATTTAAAAAAAAAATTATTTTACCTTTTTATTTGATTTTAATTCTAAAGTGAGGTATATGATGGTGGTTCCTGTTCATTTTGTAATAGAAGAATACTAGCTACTAGTTAATTGCAAGAATTACATTTTTATACGACCGCAAAAAAATTTTTGTGGTCGTATATTGGTATGACGTTGGCGTCCTGCGTCGTCCGAAGACACATTGGTTTTCGCACTCTAACTTTAGTTTAAGTAAATGGATCTTTATGAAATTTTACCACAAGGTTCAATACCACAAAAGGAAGGTTGGGATTGATTTTGGGGGTTATGGTAATAACAGTAAAGGAATTAGGGGCCAAAAAGGGGCCAAAAATAAGCATTTTTGTAACTTCCAGACATAACTTGTGTGTTAGTGTATGGATCTCTCTGACATTGTACCACAAGGTTCCATATCACTAAAGGAATGCTGGGATTGATTTTGGGGGTAATTGCCTCCAAATTTTAGGAATTAGGGGCCAAAAAAGGGGCAAAAAACAAGAATTTTTCTAGTTTCATGACAATAACTTGTGTGTAAGTGTATGGATCTTTCTGAAATTGTACTACAAGGTTCCATATCACAAAGGGAAAGCTGGGTTTTGAGTTTGGGGGTAATTGCCCTAAACTTTTAGGAATTTGGGGCCAAAAAGGGGCCAAAAAACACATTTTTTTCTAGTTTCCAGACAATAACTTGTGTTCAAGTGTATGGATCTCTCTAAAATTGTACTGCAAGGTACCATACCACAAAGGGAAGGCTGGGATTGAGTTTGGGGGTGATGAATCATAATGGGGGTTCAAAAAATTTTGGGGGGGGGGATTTATTTTTTTCTTCATTTTTTTTCTTTTTTTCCTTTTTTGTTTCTTTTAAAATTTTCCATTTTAAGTTGGTTATTTCTGATTTATATTTAAAATCAAATAATAATGATATGGTAGGAGATACACACCAAACAGGATGTGTAAATTATTATATAATAAGTATTGTGCAATAGCAAGAAATTTTCAATTGCACAGTATTGCACAATAGCAAGAAATCTTCAATTGCACAGTATTGCGCAATAGCAAGAAATCTTCAATTGCACAGTATTGCGCAATAGCAAGAAATATCCAATAGCACAATATTGCGCAATAGCAAGAAATTGTCAATTGTACAGTATTGCGCAATAGCAAGAAATATTTAATAGCACAGGATTGTGCAAAAGAAGATACTTCCTATAAATTGCTTATTTCTTGACCAATTTCAATGGGGTTTTATTCTTGATTTCATGGGGTTCTTTAATATGCTGAATCTAACCGTGTATTTAGTTTTTGGATTTTGGGCCCCGTTTTTAAATTGGTCCACATTGAGGTCCAAAGGGTCCAAAATTAAACTTTGTTTGATTTCATCAAAAATTGAATTATTGGGGTTCTTTGATATGCCGAATCTAACTGTGTATTAAGATTCTTAAATTTTGGTTCCGTTTTCAAATTGGTCTACATTAAGGTCCAAAGGGTCCAAAATTAAACTTAGTTTGATTTTAACAAAAATTGAATTCTTAGGGTTCTTTGATATGCTGAATCTAAACATGTATTTAGATTTTTGATTATGGGCCCAGTTTTCAAGTTGGTCCAAATCGGGGTCCAAAATTAAACTTTGTTTGATTTCAACAAAAATTGAATATATGGGGTTCTTTGATATGCTGAATCTAACCATGTATTTAGATTTTTGATTTTTGGGCCCCGTTATCAACTTTGTCCACATTGAGGTCAAAAGGGTCCAAAATTAAACTTTGTTTGATTTCATCAAAAATTGAATTATTGGGGTTCTTTGATATGCTGAATCTAACCGTGTATTTAGATTCTTAATTTTTGGTTCCGTTTTCAAATTGGTCTACATTAAGGTCCAAAGGGTCCAAAATTAAACTTAGTTTGATTTTAACAAAAATTGAATTCTTAGGGTTCTTTGATATGCTGAATCTAAACATGTATTTAGATTTTTGATTATGGGCCCAGTTTTCAAGTTGGTCCAAATCGGGGTCCAAAATTAAACTTTGTTTGATTTCAACAAAAATTGAATATATGGGGTTCTTTGATATGCTGAATCTAACCATGTATTTAGATTTTTGATTTTTGGGCCCCGTTATCAACTTTGTCCACATTGAGGTCAAAAGGGTCCAAAATTAAACTTTGTTTGATTTCATCAAAAATTGAATTCTTGGGGTTCTTTGATATGCTGAATCTAACCATATATTTAGATTTTGAATATTGGACCATAATAGGTGAATGTCCAATTTAAAATTTTTAAGTTCTTAGACCACATTCAATCTGTGTTAGAAACCTATGCTGTGTCAAATATTTAATCACAATCCAAATCCAAAGCTGTATCAAGCTTGAATGTTGTGTCCATACTCCCCCAACTGTTCAGGGTTCGACCTCTGCGGTCGTATCAAGCTGCGCCCTGCGGAGCATTTTATTAATTCTTGCCATGTTGATCCTTTTCGATTTTCTGCAGTAATTTCTCAATTTACAACACCCTAGAAAATACAAATTAACAAAGTATGTACATATGATACATACAGGATTATTGTAGAATTTACATACAGTGTTTTTTTCTTTCTGTGCAGGTATTCTGGAATGGTAACCAAAATAAATAACAAGGATGGTAAATGGAAGATTAAGTTTGACCACAATTCAAAAGACAAATATGATAAATGGTGAGTTCATATTTTTCTTGGTAATTGTTTTAAAAATTTATTTGTTATACGTTAAATTTTTTCAGCATGAATTTGATGCAGATATGCAATACTGGAACAATTATCCATCTGCCAAAGATTTTTAGATTTCGAAAACTACCAGTCAGGATTCTACTTCGTCAAAATTATCCCCATGACACCACTAATTTTTTCAATCATGAAAAAATGGAAGCGATTTTAGGGATGATGTCCTGTTAATTTAGCTCCTGAAAATCTATAAATTTATCAACATGGCATCATTACGATCCTTATATGCCAGTTGTATTTTTAAAGACAAATGTATCTATTGAGCATCTTTTAATGTACTTTTAGGCCTTATGTCAACTAAAAACTATTGTCTGATTGGTTGTAAGGTGAATTTTCAAAAGTTAAAGAAAAAACTAAAATTTTCAAAAGTTAAAGAAAAAACTAAAACAATTCTATTTAAATATTTTGTGGAAGGGCAGTCTAAAAATTTTCAGAGGTTGAAGACTATTACCTCGATAACACACACAAAAAACAGATTTTTTTTTTTTTAAGTTATGCAGAAAAAAGATCCACTAGTTAAGTCTGTGGTCAATTGCTTTCAGTAAAAATTTGTTAATCAAACACACCTCCTCTGTTGTTAAGACTCATTAGAAAGGTATTTCACTTGACACATATTTTTCATTTTTTTGATACCGTAAATTTTTAATGTTATTATATCAACATGTAGCCTAAATATATAATGATAAAAGAATTTGAAGCGAGATGATGTATCAAATATTTTTACCTTTATACGTTTTCAAGACATACAGTCAACACGTAAAAAGGTGTATCAGACTTCCTCTTTTCGATAAGATTATTGCCCATTTGTAGGTTTTTTTTCCTAAAATACTGTCCCATGTGGGTGGGGTGGCAGTGATGCAAATAAATGCTATAAATAGATCAATCTTTTATCTTTCTGTTGATTTTTTTTTACGGTGGAATTTATGCTTATGCATTATAAAGATTCCTATCATAATATAGTGTTTTGTGAAAATTTGTCTTTAATTTAAAAGTTTTCAAATATCTCTAAGCTCCATACTATAATTTGAGCAAAAACACGTAAATTAGATGTCAAAGTTCCTAAATTATGCACCTACAGTAAACCTTTTAAGGCTATATAAACAAATGTAAACAATTCAAATATACCAACTTGCCCATTTTATGCTTCTCTAATAAAGAGTTCCATATCTTTTCTTTAATTTCAATTGGATCAGCCTGCTACTAGATACTTTTCTTGGATTTGAAGCACAATTAATTTGGGGTTATCTCTCTTTGATTGTAAAATTTTTGACAAAAAAAAAAAGTTGAAAATGAAAATTTTATGACAGTAAGTTGATATATACATTTCACACTCATGTCACCTAAGTTTTGCATATATGTCAATAAAGGTTGTACTTAATTGCTGTAGCAATCCTCTCATATACCACCAATTAAATTTTGGCCTGAAAACTCATGAAATGAGGAAATTTGTATATATCATTGTTTTGTTAAATAGATTTTTAAGGATTATGTCAATATCAGCTTAGGCCAAAGTTGGAATGTGACATCAATAACATCATTGAATTAAGAAATATTCCAGATTTTGGCAAAAAAAAATTAATTTCGAAAAGATTTTGACTTTGGACTGTTCCAGAAATAAATGTAAAAGATGGGTGGGGTCAGAAGGCACTTTTTATTTTCCCTTTGCCATGCATAAATATTTTAATTGATTAGTTTATATAATTGTTTAGGCTATCTGTCTAAAATAACATTTTGATAAAAAGTGCCTTCAGAATCCAAGTTTTGACTAGATAAATGTTGGGTGAACATTAAGTAGACAGCTGTGCAACAATTTAAATAGACAAAAAAATTAAACATCCAGTTTATATAAAAGTAATTCTAGAACCAATGATTTTTTTAACTTGTGCTTAAATAGTAAATGGATGCAATCTTCACATTTTCAGTGCTTATGAGCACTTTGAATTTGCTTATAGCTTAGATAGCAAATTTTGTAATACAAGTATAACTATCTACTCTAAAGTGCAGTTAAAATCAGGTGATTGTGTTGCCATTCAGCATTCTACTGTGGTGACACACAGGGATTACTCCTGTCTACTTGTCATGGGTGACATTGTCATCAGTGTCTCACTTTGTTAATCCACAACTACTTGAAAACTGCTGGGTAGAATTCTACCAAATTTGCAAAGATTTACCGCAGGACATAGAAGTTTTCCACATGCTATTTTAAATGTTTTGCTAAGTTAATTTTCTCTCCCCCCCCCCCCCCCCCCCCCCCCACTTTTTAAAAAAAAAGTAGAAGAAAATATCTATTTTCTGCTTTATCAGTTTATTAATCAGCAACTTTGGAAAATTAATTAGCCTTTACCCCCACATCACCTTTTATACTTTTATATAATATATGGATATTGTGATTTACCGATATGTATCATTCTGTTCAAGTAATCCATAATTCAAATATATATTTCATATACATGTATATTCTGGAAAGAGTTGTAGAAAAAGTATGTTAATATTTCCGGGAAATGTCTGAAATTTGACACAAAGATTTCAGTCATACAGAAAAACCTGCAAATAGTTAGAGGAAAATTTCTTTTAGCTTTGTGTGTTCAACAATCTTCTTATCAGTTAAGAACTTCTCAGTTCTGGATAAAAGGAAGCACACATTTTTGCAACAGATTGACAATTTGAGAAAAATCAGTTTGCCAATCATTTACAATCCGTCGAAGATATTTCATTTCAAAGATAAAAGAAATCATAAATTTCCTATAACTACCAGAAATATTGGAACACTTTCATCTATCAAAGAATAAGATAAATAAAATAGGAGATAATTGGAGTTATTGATGAAGATAATGTCACCCTAACTGAAATTTACGTTCTTGGCAATCTTACACTAATTAAGTTACCTTAAATGCTCCACTGGGTATGGAATTGGCTGTAAGAGCAGAACCATAAACCAGAGTTTGTTCTCAATGCTTAAATTTATGACCCTAGAAGACGTAGCCTACCCATAAATATTTAATTACTTAACAAGAAATAAATTCCAAAATCCCTAAGGTGCCCAATCGCTGTAAAAATACACAACATCTCGCTGGAAACTCGTCAGATATAGCCATACTAATAATATGTAAACCAGTTGACGTTATCAGCGACTAGTGAAATTTCTCGGAAAAGGTGTCCGCTTTTACCAAGATGTATCACAGTTTGAAAGTAGTGAAGAGTTGTAAAAATAAATTGTTTTTGCAGTCGATAAGGATCTACACACGAGATAAATACAAAACAATTACAGTTTGCTGTTCTTTGATGGGAGCCATGACATAGAATCGTGTTGATCGCTGCAGTTGTTTTGTCTTGTTTTACCACTGGTACAATTTTTTGTGCAATTAAAATAAAGTGCTTCTTCGTTAATTGTTTTAAATAGAAATTGTATGTTATCAGAATTAAAAGAAGCAGGCAAAATGCATTTTTCAATCATGTTGCCTTTTAAAATGTAACACTCTGTTTTTGAAATTGATTGTCTAAGAAGAAAAAGATTCAAATCATTGAATTAATATTTAAATTTAACATTGTTTGGAGACATTTTTTACTTAGAACTGTTTTATTGTACCATTTTTCAAGAAATAATTATGATTTTTAGCAAAGCATATTTCCAGTTTATTTCAATGTATGATAAATTTGTTCAACTTTTTTGGTCAGAACTAAATAATAATAAGAGTTTCCAGTTGCAGTTTAATGTGTGAATTTACATCTAATGATCGCAAATATAATTTTCAGTTTAATATAGAAATAGCTTTGAAAATGTGTAAAGCTGTATTCATATCTATCATGTCTTCATGCTTGAAAGTCTTTTTACAAAAGTTTCCTGATTTTATTTTTAAAATTTTGAAATATTTAGTCTAATAAGCAAATAAAAAGGAATGTCATGAATGTGTAATGCATTTGTACATGAGACTTTTATAACAACAGCATATGGGGGGAAATTGCAATGCAGAAGATGATATACATTTGAATGTTCCTAGCAAGGAGTGAAATAGCTTTACTGCTTATTCATGGTCATACAGATCTGAATGTTAATTTTCTACCACAAATATTACGATATTTTTATATTTATATTGTATATTGCAGTGCATGTTTCTTTATGGTTTTGGGCTATTTCCTACCACTACATTTCTCTTCTGAAACATCAAAACTCAAAGAATCTCTTAAATGTTAATATGCTTTTTATTGAGATGTCTTGCTTGAACACATTTTATTACAAAATAATTAACTAAACCCTTGTAAATTGCAAAATCCTGTAATTACAAGTGGGACAGGTTTATGGTCGTTTCTTAGAAAGCAGGCTGTTCGTCCGTTTTAACGGAACAAATATCTGGCATGTTGAAGGTCTCGGAAGATTTGTAGGCTAATGGAAAATATCGCTTTATTTACACAACGATTTCATTTAAATGTAACGGAGATAATGGCTAAATTGCCAAGGAGTATTTAAGATCTAAATTAAATTCTCTTTCTTTGGGAATATCACTTGACTTCTCGAGAGGGCCCCACGGCGATTTGTCAAATAAAATTATGGGCATTGTTGACAGTGATGAAATTATAATTACCGTTGCTATTATAGCGAAACGATTCGTCTTTTTTTCACGCCTAAATATCCATGAAGTTGGGTGTGTTGTATTAAGATGGGTGATTTAATAATAAGAAAGTAAAGGATATTTAATGTTGTTTCTTGAAAGTGACTGACTGTTAGTTGTAATTATAATAAAATGAAATTATTAGGATATGAATTGATATTTAATTATTTTGTAATTTATTGGACTTTTGTTTTAAAAAAATGCTCAGAAACATAAAGGTTTTTTGGCCAATAAATTTACAGACATAAAGTATTGAAAAAAATATTGCATCATTTTTCAATGCATCTGATGCCCTCCAAAGATTGGCAGTATATTTTAAAATTGATGTAGGAAAACAGACATGTATTTTTGTCAAATATAATTTTATTTTTTACCTGTACAAATTTAAAGTTAATTAAAGATGTCTTAGAAGATTATGGACTTTGATTTGAATTTAAACTCTGTACAAATTTGAAGAAATTATAAGATTTGATACATATATAATTCTCTTTCTTTAAGAATATCTCTTGACTTGTCCAAAAGTCCAAAATATTTATGAAATGAAGCAAGCACAAAGTAAAATTTACAGAATTCAGGCATTTCAATAGTAGGTGCTGATCCAAGTTCGGGAGGTCAATAGTTGCCTTTTAAAACAATAAGTGCATAGATATTAGTCAAAGTTATATTTAAGCCAAAAATGGCTTTTAATTTATAATTTGTAACAATGTCCCCCCTTTGGGTAATGCTTAATCAAATTGTACTGCATAAGTTATATACTATTATTATCCATATACATAGGTTTTTAGAGAAGACATTTATCATGTTTATGTACAATATTTACAATTAATTAATTAATATATTTAATTGTAAAAATTGACACTTTTTGCTTTATTTCTGTAATTTCTTGTTTATTATTGTCGGATAATAATTTATATTACCTGTATGAATATAAAGGTGATGACACTGATTAAAACCGAGGCGTAATTAATTTAATAAAAAATCACGAAGCTAATTTATGTAATTATTTTCAAGGCAGCAGTCATGTGACACAAACATTGTCATCAATATTACAAAAAGTAGACAATTATTTATATAATCAGTATCCGCTGCGTTAGGTTTAGTGGCTTAATCTTGTTTAATTTGTTGATAATATCCCTGTCAGACGTATGTCCGGAGTGTGCCGGACACACTTTTGTGGTTATGTGTGGTCTGAAGAGTTGACAAAATTGACAAGTTGTACTTAAGCTATCAGATCAATTAGCGATACCTGATTACATGTTAAGAATGGACTAATATCATGTCAACTATTAGTATATTCCCAAATTGATAAATTAAAATTTTGACCTGCTACGTAATCATACTTATTAGAATATTTTTTATTTTAGTTAAACATGTTAAAAAGCACAATTTGTAGGTACATTTGTAATAGTATGGAAAAAAACAAGAAAAAATATGAATTTTTAATAATTTATATTTGGTTGGAACCTGGCATTGTGTTTGTCAGAACCATGGTCAATTCAATTTGAGATCACTATACATTGAAGTACCCAAAACTAAACATGTTTTATTTGCAGCAGTTGTTACCATTTTTATACAGTTTCAAGTAAAATATTACATTTTTTTTAAACACTGCTTTCATCGGTATTTACAATTTGATAATAGTACATATCTATATCTTAACATATTCTGTGACTTTAGAATAGATTTAAGTTTTCAAATATTGATAATTTAAAACCAATCAATATATAATTTATATTTATCTAATGTTAAAAACAATTTTTTGTATAAATGGATTTTGTTTTTTAATACAGTGCAACTACATTTTGGTTTATTTAAGGAATATTATTATGAGTATAAACAAAATTTCCTTTACAATAATTTATTTTTTATATTTTGATAAAAATCTGACAAACTGGTCTAACTAATTGAAATATCAAAAGAAATGTCACAAGCCTATAATTCCTAACTAGCCGTAGGTTAAAATCTGTTACCAACTTCTAAAGAACAGAGGTGTAGTGTGCCTTTTATCCCCACACAGCTTGAGACCAGACTGGCACACGACCGAAAGTCTAATAGTCAAGGATGTTACAAAATCTTGTTTAAATTGTTGATTTATTAAGGTTTTATAAATTTAATCAGCTAATAATAGGTGTTACAAATGTTTTGCAAATAAGGGACTTTAGATCATCCGGTGATAACCGGTGTCCAAGCGTGAGATACATGGAAAATGATGTCCGACAGGAAGCCGACTGTCAGATGTAATTTTTTAAATTACACTTGTTTGACATGATGATTTTGGTCATTTAGCTACTGATTAGTTGCATAATTAAAATACATGTATTCAGGTTTTTTTAATTTGGCCAGATAAATTTTAAACAAACAAAAATTGCTCTGTAACAAGTTGCTAGAAATGTTCAAATAAAAAAAATAACTCTCATCTCTCTGTAGAATATATGATCAAAAGGAAATATTTTGTACTGCTCATAATTAACCTTTTTGGTTCACAAGAAAGCTCAAATTGCACATGAAGTTTGCTAGTCCAAGATTTCTTCGACGTTTGACTGTCTATATTTAGGACTAGTTGGGTCAGCAGACATTAGAATGCAGTGCATATAATTTATAAAACATGGAAATTGGTTTCATATTTTGGGCAATTTAGAGCTTTACATATTGTATAGAAATTTCCATTGATGAAGACCTTAAAGTTTGCTATCCCCTAGATGTCATTTAGATATATTTTTTTATGGTTGCTGTTTTATTGATGTATACCCTTAACCCCCCTTTTATGCATTACATGTATAAAAATCAACTGTCTTAGTATTCACATTGGAAATAATTGAATTTTAATTCTTCCAATAGAAAATTTGGTAGTACAATGTAGTTTTAACAATTTTCTCTTTTTTTTCTGAAATTTTTTGTATAGTTTCTATTGGTCTGTAGAAGAAATTCTTACAGGCCCTTTATATTACAAGCCTGGGCTGGTTAGGTTGTGGCCGAGCGATAGACTGCTGAAGAAAAAAATCATATTCTTTTGGTGTGTTGTTTAATACAAATTTATAAATTTCAGGTATGAAAAGTCCAGTAAAGATTTGAGATTAAAGGTTTGTAATTTTATTTTAATATGATACAGTGGAATAATTGGTTCATTCTTTATATAACTGTTCTCCAACTGAATTGAATTGAAATTTTGGAAAGGGATGGAATATTAGAAAAGTGAATGTGAGAAATGCTCAAAACTGTTTCACCCTATTTCTAAAGAAAAGTCAAGTATATTTTATAAAAAGAATTCACATTATGATAAAGAATAGTTAACTTAATTTGAATAATGAGAATTAAGGCCTTGGTGAAAATTGCATTCCTTAAATTTATACAAAGCAAAAAGTTTTATTGTCACATACATATTTTTTTTTGTGTTTTGGTTGTTTCTGATATGGTTTGTTTATCTTTAAAGTGGTTAGCCTATTCCAGAATCTTGTGTTTTCATTGCTTCTGAAATGATTTGTTTATTTTTAGAGTGGTCAGCCTATACCAGAATCTCCAGTTCAAGGTCCACCTTCACCCGTCTCTGTGTCCTCTGCCACTGAAGCCCCATCATCATCAACCACATCTCAGTTACCATCTAGTCAAATTACAGATGAAATTGCTAATGGATACAGGTAGGTGCTGCCATCTACTGATCTAGTTAAATAACCATTGAAACTGCCAACGAATACAAATTGACACTGTTAGTTAATGTAATGGTTGTCAAATACAGCCAAAGGATACAGGTAGGTGCTGCCATCTTGTCAAATCTTTAATAAGAATGCTAATAGACACATGATGATGCTTCCATCTAGTTGAATCTTTTGTGATATCAATCATACAAGTAGATGCTGCCATGTCAAAATACTGTGCAGTTCTACACTTCCAAGAATGTGGTAGTCTTCTGCCTCCCTCTTTTTTTTTTTGTCTGAAGAAATTAAACTGCATGAATGTACAGTCTATGCCAAACTGTTTTAGCATGTTTAGGGTTTGTCTGACCGAAAAAGAAATTTGAACTTTTCTACTTTATATTCAACTAAAAAATCTTAAAAGTTCTGTCTTACCCATGATTTTTTGTCTGATATTTTGTCGGTCAGACAGAGTTTGGGATACACTGAATGTACTGCATTTAAGGTATCAGATTGCAGATAAAATTTTCTTGAACTAATACTGAGGATTCATTTATTTTCGTGGGTAGAGGAAAAATTGTGCTTACGTGAATAATTAACGTCTGCATACAAGCCTATAAAAATAGTTGTACTTGGTTGAACATTTAAATTTGTGGTTAACCTATACATGCTAAACCCACGAAAATTGGTTTCCCAGGAATAATAGTGAATCCACAGAACACTACACAAATTTTGAAGATTGCATAATTGTACGTAAAACGTGACTTTTTCATTACAGAACATGTTTACGTTATTTCCTGCCACCAAACTGGATCATGGATAAAGATGCCATATCAACAATGGCTTTACCAGAATTAGCTGCCTTCCCATTAGACGATTTCTTTGACCATTATGAAAAAGGATTAAGAAAGGTTTGTAATCTTTAGTTCTTCAATTTTACTCATCACCTTAAACTTAAACCACACACTTTTTGTTAGAAAAACCATGCAATAAAAAAAATCCTCTGATCTTTTATGTTACAAAACTGATAAATATAGGCAAGCAAAAAAGAGTCTCACATTTTTTAGGTCGAGTCAATTTTTCTTCTAACTTGATGGGTAAGTGGGAAACAATTTTTTGTTGTTGTATATTTGGCCTTAATTGTCCATACATGTAGTTTGTTTCCTTTGTTTTACAGTTAGTTGGTAACTTCCAGACAGAAGCATCTCAAAGGAAACAAGAAAGTGACCAGGCCGTCACAAAATTATCTTCAGTGCGGAAACTTATTGCCAAACTTCTCAAGTCAATAAACGAGGTAGGTGATCTGTGGTGGAAAAAACATTGCAACTGAATCAGACCATTTTATTAGAATGGATGTTGTAGGTTAGGAAGAGACCTATATCCCCCAACAACCAACAGACTTAGGGCTGTTCCATAAAAACATACATGGGACCCAGGGAAGGCACTTCTAAATCTCAACTATGGGTGGGTGTCATCTATGTTTTTGCATAGTATGGGAAATGTAAGGGAAATTTTAGTTTGCCTCTATAGATGGTTACCCCATTTTTAAAGTGCCTTTCCTGGGTACCATGTACAGTACTGTATGTTTTAATGGAACAACCCTTATTAATTTTGTTTAATTAAATTATATACAACCATAAACGACCCACATCCCATATGAAAAAAATAATTTTCTCTTCTATCTCTCCTCTATAAAAATATGGAGATGTGGTATGATTGCCAATAAGACAATTATCCATCAGAAACAATGGAATGGATGTAAACAACGATAAGTCATTGTATGCGTTTTAATTGAATAACATTAATGATTACTTTGTTAGATACTGCAACTTTTACATTTAAATAAAACCAGCATTGAAAAAATAGAATTCTTTTGTCAGAATAATTAGATTGGGTTACCTTTACTTAGCTGGTTCAATAAGTTTAGTTAAGTTAAAGTCAGTTGATTTTTTTTAAATCTTAACTAATTAACTTGTATAGGTAACACAATTATGTATTTTCTTTTAATTTAGTTTTCTGTGATTTTATATTTGTGTCGCGTTATAATTTTTAAACCTTACATTTTCATTCGGAAGTATTTAATTGTGTTTCAATTTCATAGTTTTCACAGTTCAGTGAAATTTTATTGAAATGAAATAGTTTCTATATATGTAATTTTCCTTTGTCAGACACGTGTTTTAAATATGCAATAAATACTTAAGTTCAACAATATGATTTTTTAACAAAGATTTTTTTAAAGATTAGCTGTATTAAAATGATTCATAAATATATTTTCATACCACATACCAAAGAGGTTAATGTATATAAATTTTTTTAGAAAAACAATGTTTTTGTTCAAAAAAAAACTTACAACATGAAGAAATAACATCAAAGAGAGTATAGAATTTCTGAAACGAGAGCTATGTTTTACTACATCAAGGATTCCATCGGAAAAAGACATTTACTAGATTCATGATAAGTTCTTCCGATGAGAAAAATTCTATGCGAAATCATCAATATTAATACACCAACTGTCATTACCAGCAAAATGTTATCAATACCTAATCTATGGTCATCGAATTAATTGCCGTACATATGGCTGTATGCCAATGAATTTTCACACCATTTACAAGGCTGGTAATGTGCTGTGATGTTTTGGGAATGATAGATATCCAGCTAGGGATGTCATTGAAGAATAAAGACAACTACCATTTGATCTGTGTTTTTGCAGGCTTTTAAGTGAAATCTGAGGGTTGTATCTCTTATTTTTAATGGTTGTTAGTCATTTTTTTTCCTCCAGGCAAAATGATATATGGAGGTGGAACCTATTTAAATGATTGACAATTTAATTGAGGGAAAGTTGATTAATATTGGATTTTCATATCGATTGCAAATTGGTTAAATGAAATGAAAAAGTTTCAAAGTGATTATTGAAATTTTGAATGTAGTTTAATTTTTTCTTTGTAGTGGTAAAAAAAAAAATAATGGATGCAGTTATTTCATTGGTAATTTGAATTAAATAAAAAAAAATCTGTAACATTAAAACAGACTCAAAGATCGTAAAGATTTTGAAAATCATAAAAGATACAAAATTTCTATGAAGTCCAAGCTGGTTTTATGTTACTTCCACAACTCTGTAAAATGTAAACAAATAAGATGTCTTAAGAAAAAATAACAGTAATAGTTTTGGGGGACTAAAATATGTTCTGGACCAAGCCAGTTGTAAGTCCTTTAAAGATATCCCGGTAACTCTCAAGATGAAGAACAAAGAGATGATGATGTTTGTCAAGTTTTTAACTGAATTAACTTTTTTATTATTTTAAGAAATTTAAGGGAAAAAAAAGTAAAAACTTGGAATATACAATTTCCAACTTCTAGTATATCTTGGTTATTTCTTGTAAATCCAATCAATTTCCCTCTTTCCCCATTTATCTTGGAATAACATTGTTTATATAAATTGTAAAGTGTCACTGATTCTTTTAATTTGAAAATATGATCATTTTAATTCATTTTAAAGGAAGCAATAAAACTGTGCTATCAGAAATTAATTTAAAAAAGGTGACTAAATAGATCATTCTTTGGGTCTGATATTTATATTCATAAATTCATGTTAAGAACAGTTGCATAAATATTTAATAATTATTTTATAGTGTGATTGTTTTATGTCTGTATAATTTAATTGCTGTATTTCTGCACACTAATTCAGAGATTTTCCCACAAGAATTGTAACATATTTGACGATACAGTCACCGAAAATGAAGCGCTAACGTGTCAAAATATTCCCAGTGTTTAGCAACAAGTCGTAATCGTCAAAACATTTGGTAGGAACCAAAACTAGCTAGTGAATATGGGACGAGCATTGATAATTGTCAAATTTCATGGTGTGTGAAGTCGTAAATAAAAAACCGTCAGAGGATGAAACATAAAAATATCAAATTACATTCCACCTGGAATAGCAGGTAGTAACCTTACCTGTATGGATAAACTGTTCACACCTAATTTCATTCTTAATTTTATTATCATCTTTAAGTGTCAACTTTCGAAAAAGGTGTTTTTGAATTAAAATTGTAAATTACGCTTAAACAAATGCATTTTAATAGTTACTAAATTTTAGGTTTGAGTGAGGGATAAAGATTGCAACTTCAGTTGATAAATTGTTCTTTTGGAGTTGTCTTTTGAAATTATCGCAGTTTTGTGAGAAAATTATATGATTGTCTTGTGCCTTAGTCATAAAGACACACATTTTAGGAGTCTTGAATAATGTATAGATTTTCTGTATGAATGATTCATTATAATGGAAAATACAGTTATTTAACAGCTTATTTAATTCAGTTTATTTTGATTTATCAGTTAGAATTACTGGTCTGAGCTAAATTTCGTAATAAATTAAAATTAGAAGTTTTATTTCATTTTTCGGTAGCATTCAAAATCCTATATACTTAATGGACAGTGAAAATAAGAAACAGATTTAGGGGCATTAATGACAAATTCTTTATGAATCAAAATGTTTTAATGTGGTGTCATTTTTCTAGAATCAGATTCATAATGTTGTTTATAGGAATAAATCTGTGAGCTTTACTTTACATCACCTACATCAATTACTTGTGAAATATCTCAATTTCAGGGACCTTGTAATCAGAAGTTTTTGTCATGAAAAAACCACACGTTTCTCATCTTAGTGAAATGAAAACTACATTTAAGCATAATTTGTATATTATTTGTCTCACCTGTGACTTTTAATGCATTTTAAAAAGAAACTATAAAATTGACGTGTTAATTTGTCACCGTATTGAGTTACTAAAGTTACACCGAGATGTGTATAATACAGCGATACTTTCACAGAAATAAAACGGAAAAGTTGAAATATTTGACAGTCTTGGTATGCAATAAAATATTGAAAACTTAAACGGGGCTTATACAAGTCACAAGTACCTCACAGGAAATTAGACAATTATGGCTTCATCAAACAGGTGTTTACGACTTGTCTACAAATTTGATATGGATGTTAAAACATTACAGGGTTGGTTGATCTAGTGACCACCCAATATGTACAGTATGGTTCTGTTCTGTTTGTTGGACCAGTCCATTGACCAGTTCTTCAAAACACCTGCATTAAAGGGAGTTAATTGTCAATTCATAACAAAATGTTATCAAGGGAAAAGTTTTGAATTTTGATTAAACAGTATTTGGTCAAAAGCCACCCAAAAGTAGCTTGGACATTTAGTTCTATTTATGTCTGTTAGAAATACTACTGATTTTTTTGTAATGGTCAATCACAAATTTAGTTCTATTTATGTCTATGTCAGAAATAAAACAGAATTGGGGTTTTGAGGTCTTAAGATGGTCAGTTACAGGTTCAGATCTATTGATCTCTGTAAGGTGGTCAGTTACAGGTTCAGATCTATTGATCTCTGTAAAAGAGAACTACAGACCTTTAGGTTGGAGTTTTATAATGGTCAATAACAGAGTTAGTAACTTTTCAAATTTGTACAGCATTACTGCCCTTTGACTTGAAAAAAATCCATGAAAAATTAACTTCATGAACATTGTATAATTTTTCTTTTGCTTTGCCTTCAGACAGATTTATTGACCTTAGTAACAGTTTCGGTTTTCAAGCAAAATCTTGTGTTTACTGGAAAAGCTAACAATAATCATATAACTTTGCTTATACTGGAGAAAATTTTTATGAATTCTGACAAGGAATGACTTTATAATTTCATAAAATATAATTAAAGGTGAAATACATAAGGGCTAATCCAGAAAAAAAATATAGAGCGGGTTGGAAGGCACTAAGATTATGTTTGTATGGGTGCGGGCAGGTCACAAAGTTTTTGAAACTGGAGCATTTGGCTACATAAATTTATGATGTGGCAGGCAGTTTTTAAGATTTTATAAACCAGATAAAGTATTACTTTTTGTTATTTTACACACAGATTTAAAATAGACATGTGATATTTTCATGCCAGTAAACATGGTAAATTCATGTTGATTAATTACTTTTACTTTCAGGATTTTGATATTGACCCTGATGCCGATGGTGACCAAGTAGATGAACTTTTAGCAGCATGTGTCAAACAAGCTGTCCAATCACAACCTTGATAACAACTAGTATCATAGGGAATTAACCAATCAGAAATAGTGACTCTGAAACATGTGACCAATGAAAATGAAGAGTTTGAAATGACTGGTCATAAAGAATTTTAACCAAAATGAAAGTTCTTCAGAGAGTTGTTAATTTATTTGAGGAGAGGCATTTTACCAGTGAACTTGAACCATTTGTTTTCTTCTTTAGATTGTTTGTTTACCTGAGCCAAATTATGTTTTCACATTAAAGAATCTTTTCCAGACTGATAGTTTGAGATCTGCTTCCAAACTCAAATAAATACTAAGAATATGACATTGTATAATGTAATGTTATTCACCATCAACAACATTTTGTGTGAAACAAGTCTTATTTACTTTATGAATAATTGATACGTATGAAAATTTCATCAACACGCTTTATAATGTGGGAGTCAAACAAATGAATAATTGCATTGTATCTATGTTTCATCTTGATAAAAAAAAAAGGGGGGGATATTTTTTATGCTCAATATTATTAAAATCATAGAAATATACATTTGCTTAACGAAATTGGTTAACTTGAAAGAATTGTCAAAGTTCAAATAGGGAGAAGGTTTTAAACAATTCACTGTGGATTTCAGACAAAGGCATTGTGTAAATGTAAAAGTTAACCTACATTATTTCGCTCAATAAAGCGACTGATTAGTCAATATGAACATTTTAATGAGGAAATGTATTTTTTTAATCCCTTGTTAAGTATAACCAAATGGCGTATTAACAATTACTTGTCGTATTTTAATAAAAATTAATCTGGATTTGTTTTTATTAAAAATGCCATTTTCATTTTATCTGAATTTATTTGAACATAAAGTTTCTGTAACAAGAATGAAGTCAAATTGTAAAAAAATCTTGTCAAAATGTTGCATGACATTAGAATCAGAAATTGTGTTAGGATTTTTGCTCAGGATCCTACCGCTGTATAGGAACCAGAGAAAAATGTGTAAATATATGTATGTCCTAATTAGGCCATACAGGAGTTTATCACCGTCCCCCCCATATCACTTACATTGTGTCAATCATACCCTGTGTTCATGATAATACATAGGATTTGCCTCTAGTTCTTCCGGAACATGCATGAAATATTTGCCACTGGACATTAAGTTACTAACAATCAATCCATCATTTTTGAAGAGTTACTCTGATGACATCTTGTAACAGATGTAGGACTTTTCAAATGATCCTTAAATCAGCAAGAATTGCAGAAATTTCGTATATCTGTTGTTTTTTGCGTCAGGTTTCATTCACTGTGTGTGCCTTTGAAGAGGTAGTTACATCATCTTTGCTCACAGCCTTGAACTATGTACAGTGAACTGTTTCCATAAAGTAAATTTTGCAGTAAAACATCAAACATAGCAAAATTTGAGGCATGAACTTTCTTGATGTACAGTCTGCATTCTCGTATTATTTTAGGCTGGCTTTTAGAATTAGTACACAAAATGAACAACCTAATAGCAGGAAAATGAAATACTACATTTTCACGGAAAACAAATTTATTTGTCCAACATCTGGTTGCATCAAAATTGTTACTGTTAATGATGTTTTTTAAAGCCCAATGTTTCCATTTGAGGATTAAAAATTAAACTTATTGGAGTTAACTCTTTCAACAAGGCAGTCATGGTTTGTATTATAAAGAAAAGGGAATGAAGGCAAGAGTCATATACATATTAAGTTTGTCATTTGCATATTGTAAATTCATTATTATCATGAATATTCATGTAGAGTTAACATGTTGTGTTAATATTTTTAGCTGTAGAACATTTTACATTGATGTAAAAATTATCATCATTAATTATGCGAGTTTCTCATTTTTTTTCTCAGTTTGTAAGTAATATTTTTTGGAAAACTTGATAATAAATCTTACATGCAGTGGTTTATAAATGTAACATGCAGTGATCTGTAAATCTTACATGTATTGTTTTCTAAATCTTACATGCAGTGGTCTATAAATCTTACATGCAGTGGTCTATAAATCTTACATGCAGTGGTCTATAAATCTTACATGCAGTCATCTGTAAATCTTACGTGTATTTTTTACTAAATCTTACATGCAGTCATCTGTAAATCTTACACACAGTGTTTTGGCGAGTGAGAGTTTCTAAGCATTTTAACCCTAAGGTCATATTTAATGGGTAGGTTATTAGATAAACTTTTATTAATTTGGTGAAAATTTATACAGTATCAACTTTATTTATATTTTGCTAGTGCCAATAGTATATCTTTAATTTTTGTACAAATTATTAGAGAATTTAGGGGAGAGCATTTAAGAGTGTGTAATAAATAGTATCTGAATTAAAAAGAATTATTTTGGTTAGACTGGTTATTTCAGCTGATTTGTATTTTAAATAAAGTTGATGATTAATAATTTATTTAACTACGATTACCAAGAACTGCTATTTGGTGGGAACAAATTTGCCGCGCAGAGTTCTGGATAAATGGTGGACCAAAGGTCCTGACCACCAACATTTTGCAAAGAATCAACACAATTTTAGTTTTTTGCAATAGAAATAATAGTGATAACCAGGAGATTACCTCGAAGGACAACCGTGGAAAAAAAAAGAGAACTCTGTTTGCATATATAAATTTGTAAAAGGGTTTGCTGTTTTCTGTAAAATATGTACCGATACCATTATGAAGAATAAGTGCTTATGAATTTTCAATTGCAAGCAAAATAAATTTAGTTTTTTTTTTGAGATAATAATAATTTGTTTTGAAACAAAGAAATGAATAAACCCCTGGAAAAAATTCTAAACTTCACAGTATATTGTTTTAGTGGGTACCTTATAATTGTGTAAGGCTTAAATGAGCACACATTTGCTTATTTCTCATATTTATTGTAAATTTTTCGCTACATATCATTCAATTAGTATGTGATTTAGTATTGCTGGGAGGGGAAATAATCTGGATTAATTCATTTAAATACCATTATATTTGGAGAAAATGTTGACAAGTTACTAAGCTGAAAAGTGAAAGATTGATTGATTGGTGGTTGCTTTACGCTGCATCAGCACAAAAAGGCTCTATCGCGGTGAGAGCTATTTCAGATATAATAACAAGACGTTTTTTTTAAATCAGACAAAAAGTCTGTCAATTTACTAAAACTTTATCAATAAGATAACTATTTCACTAACCTGGATTGGAAGACCTATGTGAGATTTTATTGTGGCTTGTTTTTGGACACTGAAATGAGAAATGCTTACAGGTATCAGCTCTTAAATGTCAGATGAAAAAAAAGATGTCTTCCTATTATACGTTTATCCATTGTAATCTAACAACAACTAATTGAATTATTGTATATATAAGAAGTACTGCTTTTAATATATTAATTTCAAGGTTAATTGGGTAGAGCTGACATTTTTATTATGTTTTTATTAAAATTTTTGAGGTACAATTTAGCTCCCACCTATGTATATATTGATATTTTTTACTTCCATGATTGCTATATGTTTTAGCAATGACCAAATATTATCACGATTATCTTTTATGTACCAAAGTTCTTTTAATCTGATTATAGTACCTGATGAATTCTTTACATGATTTAACCAGCTTTTAAAATTCTCTTTGCAATGCTTAATTCTTTGGTTTTTACTTGCTTTGAGTAAAGGCCTGGTCTTTTGGTAATAAACTTTTGACAGTACTGAAACTACAAAATATGTGCTCAAACCATCAAATCCATTTTGATTGGTTGATTTCTAAGTCTAGAGTACGATAATCTTGCTCAAAATGTTTATGACAGCAAGGCTAGGACTAAGTACAGTACAGTTTTAAGCATTATTTTGTGACCTTTTTCAGTTTCGTGCTAAATTGTTAGTTCTGAGTAATTCAATATAAACGTACTCTTTTTGGACAAAGTATTACATAGCATTTTATAATAAAGTCTTTTTGGTTCAAATATATTTTGCACGTCTAACTTCCTAAAGTGTCAATGCAAGGCATGATCTTGAGGGAAAACATAACATTGGCTAAGATGTTGTAAGGCTTACACTTCATCTATCATTTGGATATTGTACAAAAGTAGGGGTTTTTGCTTATTCTGGAACATGCATATTAAGAAATCAGAATTATTGCTTAGTATGAATGCATTGCTTTAAAGTACACCTATATAGATTGCTCCATGAAGCCATACAAACACAAATAAACTTTTGACTTGGACTGCATTGACATATTAAATCACTATTTTTTGTAAAAATGTGTTTTTAAGACTATTTATAATATACTGAAAGTGAATTTGAAGTCTGTAAATTCCTTTTTTTTTTGTTAGTACATGTACAAAATGTAGGAATTTTTGTTGAGTGAGGAATTTAGTTTACATGGATACTTGATTTCATTATCTGCAAACAGGCTTTAAGGATATATATATATTTTGTTGAATACTTTGATTTGGTGTTAATCCATATCCACACAATCCTCCATAATTGATACTCCACAAATAATGCTGAATCCACAGTAATGTATCTATTAGTTATCATGAAATCTTTCATCAAGTAATATAAATAGGAGAGGTGACAGGTTTCCATGGTAACATTTTTCAAACATTGATATGTATTTAATGTAACAATAATGAAATAAGACATCAAGAGATGTTGACAGATTTAATGGGTTGTAGATTATAGGGTCAGTTTCATCATCTTGCATTCATCTTTGTCATTTCATTGTCAATAAATAAAAAATTGATAATAACATTTCATGTCAACTTATTTTTTATACGAAAATAAGAAGATGTGGTATGATTGCTATTGAGACAACTCTCCACCAGAGACCAAATGACATAGAAGTTTACAACTATAGGTCCCTGTACGGCCTTCAACAATGAGCAAAATTCATACCACACAGTGAGCTATAAAAGGCCCCAAAATGACAAATGTCAAACAAGAAAACGGCCTGCTTTGATGCACAAAATAATTAACCAAAAACATATATGATTTTTTTTTACAGCAACAAACAACAACCACTGCCAATTATGTAGCGGAGCATTTTCTCTCTTTAGAATTATACAATTTACTGACTTCAAAGATCAGATTGACCTTCACTTTTAGGGTCTACATACAAGTTATTGCTCCTTTGTTTGATTCACCCGATATGAGTTTATCTCCCTTGTGTGAAAGATTTGTAGTTTTTGGTGTTTTTTATGCCCCATCTACATTAGTAGGTCTGCTACTGTTCATTCGTTTGTCCGTCTGTCTCGCTTCAGGTTAATGTTTTTGGTCAAGGTTGTTTTTGATGAAGTTGAAATCCAATCAACTTTAAACTTAGTACACATGTTCCCTTTGATATGATCTTTCTAATTTTAATGCCAAATTAAAGTTTTTACCCCAATTTCACGGTCCACTGAACATAGAAAATGATAGTGACAGTGGGGCATCTGTGTACTATGGACACATTCTTGTTTGAACTTAATTTTCTATTGGGGAATCATGTGTTTTTGTCTCACTGTTCTTACAAATACAAAATATTTTATGATTGATACACAATTCTAAAACTCAACCTTATTAGGGGAGATAACTCATATAAATAATTTTTCTAATCTGTATGCGAGACAGGCATTACTATCCCGCGGCAGCATCAATGTAAACTATTTGTATAAAGCTTTTTATTTCAAAAGGTTGAAGACCCTGATACCTCATAGGCTCATACCTTGTATGCAGATACCTTATATTATGGATTTCCGTCTGTCATATGTCCATTGTCCTTGACCTCATTTTCATGGTTCAGTTACTGCTTGAAAAAAAACCAGTTTTTTTGTCATGTGAATTTCTCA